CTACCACATTCTTAAAAACTATGCCGACAAAAGACATTTCACAGAAAACAGAATATTGAAAAAAATACCACTAAAAATTCCCTGACAATTTTCGGGGAAATATGCATAGGTCTTTTTGTATATGTATTAGGTGGGTACACCTTTTTACTTCTTTTAAGAGTAATTGCTTCTTTATGCCAACAGTTTTCATCTTCTTAAAGTTCCTTTCCTTCAGAATTTGTAAAGAGTAGTATTGTGAATCTTTTTTTTTTCTTTTTTAGAGCTAATTGCTTCTACAATTATTATGCTATCTTGATTTGTCATTGTGGTATCAATCTACTCAAATTTTAGGAGGAAAAATAAAATTCAAGTGTTGTGTCCACAAATACAACAATTTTTTATACAACGCAAAGAAATGATCTTCACAGAAGAGACCAATAGTTTGAGTGTTCAAAATGATTTGTTGTAACTGAGTCTGCAAAGTTTCAAAGTGCTTTTATTACAAGTGAGGAAATCAGGTGGTATGGTATGCCTGTGTGTGTGTGTGTGTGCACGTGCGTGTATGTAGGATACACTAACAAAATGTGTATGACTGCTGACAGATTGCACGTGATAGCAGTAATTTTAAAACACAGTGAACAAAGTGAGGGGAGATGACTTACTTTCGTCATGGCATTGTATATATAAAAAAAAAAAAAAATCATCGCTGACATACGTATTGTCATGGTTCCATGTGTCTAAGCTGTTGATTAAGGCATGGTCTGGTGAGCTGTCTTTTGCAGATCAGGTCACTGACTGTTTCGTTCAAAAGCTCTTTCTGATTGTTAACATATGTCAGCGCCGAATCATTATCAGAGTTTTGTATGGGAATGGACTCAATAACCCCAGCCCTGATCTATTTCCAGCTCATATGAAGTTCAACCACACGGATGTAATAGAGAGCACATCACATGATTTGTCCTATCCAATCAGGTTCCAGAAACCACTTATTTAATTTGCAGCCATGTGTATGGAATTGTAAAAAACTTTTTCCTATCTATTGAATTTAGTAAGATTTATTTGTAGGCATCTCTTACTTGTTAATGTTTCACTTATTGGCCAAAAAATATAGGAGTTTATATCCTATATCCTTAATAAGGAAAGGAAATTTTTGCACATGCCTTTTTTGTAAAATATTGTTTTATATCTGTTTAATAAATGTTTGTACCTTTCAAATTTTACAAGATAGCTTCAAAGTCTTGTTTGCTATTGAATGCGCCTTTTTTAACATTCAGGATAAGAGAGTGGACATTCTCTTTTTTACCATTCCTTCCCAGAAAAAAAAAAAAAATTATTTTGCACAAAAAAATTTATAGTTATTGTAAATTAAATTTTTATATTTGTGATTTAACTGGAAATATATAGCATTTCATCAGTTAAAACTAATATTCACTGTGTTTTTCTGAACTGAGAGGAAACATTTTATTCCACACACACACATATATTATTTATATATATATATATATATATATATATTACTGTGGTCTTCATTTTTGTTGTTGTTACTATCATGTTGTGCCTTCTTTAAGTGTCTATTGAACTGGGTAACCGTTAGGGAATTTTAAACTGAACTCTTTATTTAATCTACAAAAGTAAATTGTTCTTATTCTAGTGTCTAGGTTTGTTTGTTTATTTTTAAGGTTTCCTTTCCTTTTTCGTAGTACTTTTCAGTTATTGCTAACACTGTGCCTAAATTTGTACTACTCAACCCAGGATTTAACTATTATGAATTATTATGCCACTAAATTCACAAAACATTCTAAATTTCTAGGTACTACAGACCCAGATTTGGCGGGAATGGGATGAGCAATAACTGAGCAGTAATAAATAAAAAACAAAGATGAGATATCCCTAAACATAGACATCAGAATAAGAAAAATTTACCCCTGTAGATTAAATAAAGGATTCAATTGAAAATTCCTTAAAGGTTACCTGGATTGATAAACATATGAAGAAGGGAAGAGGGAACAATTGCCAAAATATTGTGATAACAACGAAGATGAGGACATTAATCTGCATGTAAATAATAAATCCTTGTGCCAGAAATTGTCCTCATCTTTATTTTTTCTAAACATTTTGGTCAATAATGTTTTGATCTCCTTTTATGTATATCGTGTGAAGTATGATTTAAAGACTATTTACAACGTCTGCCTAAGAAAAGAGGAAAAATGTATTGGTTAAAACATTGTGCAAAAAGATCAAGACAAAAATTTAAAATAAGTTAAATTGTATTTTGCAATAAAAATACTTGAAGAAAACCTGAAAATATTACACTTCAAATGATTTTATATTATTTTTCTAATATGCAGTTTTAGAAAATGATTTCATAATTTGGTTACATTTTGGGAAGAATCCTGATCATTTCCAGAGTTGTTTGGAATATTCGTCTCATTCTTTTTGTTGTTTTTATCATACTACATTTCTATAGATTATACACCCAAAGAAGGTAGGGATTATGAATCTGTCAAAAACATTGCAGTTATAAAGACAACAAAAAATCCAACCAACACTTGTAATCACAATTTTTTCTTCTTTTTCAAGATCCTTCTAAAATCTTTCCAGTTGAACATTGGTAAATTTTTATGTGTTAACATCCTAATGTTAATGTTGAGAAAGAAACTGATTAATAAAATAATAAATGGTGGTTAAATAAAATAAATTCTCTACAAATGACATATTAGCAAGAAATAAAGAAAAAGCTTAAATTTAAAGCAAAGATTACTTTCAAAACTGCTACAGATACTAGAATAATGTTTCCAGTTTTATCCAATTGAAAGAAAAAAAAAAAAAAAAACAAGATTTTGAAAAATTTCATAAACTAAATTTACAGTAACGGTAATATTAACCATTTCCCTACAAGGAAACATCTGGCATTTATTGATCGAGCAGCCAGTACGGCTTTGGATTGAAATTTATAAAATATTTCTCTTAAAACAATTTTCAGGAAAACAGGTTTCTCAAACAGTTTTTGTGGCTGTTATCTTTCCAGTATTGATGGGAGTTTCCTTCCTAACATTTTATTTGAAGTGATGTAGAATGTTAACATCTTGATTATGTCATTATTTTCTCTCTGAGATACATACTTTTTTTTTTTAAAGTATCACCCCATACAAAGCAGTAAAGCCACCAGGACGCAAGGGGTTACAGGGTGTGGAAGAATTAAGAACAGAAAAATTAATGAGTGAGAAGAGGAAAGAGTAATCAGGGGGACAGTAGATAGCCATTGACATTGCATTTAAATTTTTACAGATTAAAGTTGGCTGGAAAGCATGGAGCCAGAAGGAAGTTCCACAAGTGAGAAAGAAACTGTTAGCATACAATTTACAGTCACATCTAGATAGCTCAACTGTAAATTAATGAGATTTCAACGTCAGCCTAGATACTGCATTTAAATTCAAACAGTCAAGGTATCATAGTGAAGAGCTCATCCAAACAAATACCATGAAAGTATTTATAGAAAAGTCATAGAGAGGCAATTTTATGGCATTGGGAAAGTGACTGAAGCTGAGTTGTCAGATCAGGACCAATAATATTGCTGATTCTTTGCTATTCATTTTACTTGCTGCTTGTGGGTAACTCAGTTCGCCCATTGTTTGTGATGATGGAAATGGATCAAAGTGCTTGCTTTCTTCTCCAGTCCTCTGCTCTACCAACTGAGCTGTCGCAAGTGACCTCTTCCTTATTCTCTCATTCTCGTCAGGGCATACTTATGTACATATGCCGTCATGCCAACAAGAGTTCTGCCGTCTTCCTCACAGACTCGCTATTTTTGCCTGCGTCGGGGGCAACTAAAATTTGCATATGAGACTTAATTCTCATTCACGCGAGACTTCCTATTTTATAAATTCAAGCAGGTTTGAATTCTTAGTCTTTTTTCTTTGCACGTCTGCACATGAGATAGGAATTTTGGAATAATCCATTTCACTTTTAATGCCGGTCGCGATCTTTCAACAGGACCTGACATGCCAAATTCGCTTTGCGGGAGGTAAGTCTTCTCATTCCTCACACTGCTGCTGTTGGTAGTCCTTAAGTGATGTGGTTTCTATTATCTGGTACAGTTCTTTCTTTGTGATTCTGTAGCACCAGTCCATGATATTCAAATAAGTCAATGGAAAAATATTCAAAACTTTGTTTAAAATTAAATCTACATTTGGTTAGTAGAGTTATTTTAAATATATCTTAACAAAAAAAAAAAAAAATCGAAATCCTATTATAAAATTTAAAAATGCTAGTTATTGTATGGATATGTATGTAGCACGGTGGTTATTAGTGCAGACAGTGGCATGTAGAGTTCAAATCTCAGCTGAGGTAGTTGCATCCACTTTCAAACAAATAGACTTGGAAAGATATGAATCCATCTCTTCCTCCAGTTAGGGGTTAGTAGCTGTCTAGCTTTAGTTGGCATCCAGTCTAGAAGAAGGACAACACTGAATGTCCAAACAGTTTGATGTGGAGCTAGCAACTCTACTCTATAAAAACCTACTTGCTACAGAAACTGCAACAACAACACCTAGTATTAGTGAGGCTGAGACTTTTTACACTCCTGTGGGTGTCTACAGGGTTAGGTTTGGTTTGGTTTTATGGCCTATCAGCTATTTTGGATTATTTAAATCCAAGTACTGTTTATACATAAATTTGAAAATAAAGTTTATTAGGTAGCAAAGTTTTTAAATGTTAAAATGACTTCAAGAATTTAATGTATGCACACAGTTAAAGATTTAATATATAATTCAAATATAAATATTGTTTTGCTCATGAAAAATATAAATATACAATAAAATTAAATATATATATTTTTAAAAACAAACTCAATAGGTAGCACTTTTTTTCTTTTGTTTGTACATAGTTAAAAAAATTAAAGTTAAGATATATAAATACAAATATTTGTATCTAACAGGGTTAACATACAGCATAGGTATCATGAAATGTTGAAGAGAGTTTTTACGTTTTATAATTTTCAAGGAATAATACAAATTACTTACCTTGATCCAAACGTTTTTATTAAGGAATGAAAATGGTTTAGGAGGGTTATCTCCTAACTGAACAGTCATTTTAGTATAATCAATTGTTCCTCCATCTAAGCGGGGTGGTGTTCCTGTAACAATATAATTTACAAACTTAATATAAAAGTAAGGGAATTACAATTTTTTTAGTTAAACAATATTTAACCTTTTAGCATTCAACCCATCCAAATTCACCCAGTAAATATCGACGCTCAATATTCAACCCACTATAACCTGCCATATATGCTTTTTATAATATATGACAAAATCATCACAAATAATGCAGAAAGTCACTCAAACAGTGCAGGCTTGAGCATGTTGTAGGTTAAAGGATTGAAAAAAAAAAAAAATTACATTGAAAAATCAATTTTCACTAAAATATTTTTTTCCCTCAATTACAGTAAAAATACATACCATATTTCCCATCTCATAACACACACCTATAATTTGCCAAGGTTTATAGCCATATGACATTGGCAATTGTACTGGAACTGGCGTTTCAAAGTTAAGTTATATCAAACCTGGTCAGTACCTTGATGGGTGACCACTTAGGAATACCAGGTGCTATAAGCTTGCATGTGCAGGTGGTGTAATGAATAATGGCTCAGAATTGTTAAGTGGAGAGAAGAGTTCCACTTCCAGTTAGGTTCGTTATATTCATTTATATGCAAATACCCATGAGAAAGCTATGTATCCACCTCTTCTTCCACCCAGCTCCCTTAAATGCTAAAGGGATTAAACTTGTATCACTAACTATTCTCTAGTAGGTACTTTTTGATATTATGGTACATTTTCCCTGATGCTCTAGTCAAATATATAAATTGAAATCACATATTAGTGGGATCAACTGGAGTGAGTGAAAATTTTGAAAAACAATTTCCAACTGGAATATAATTAGTACTTCTTTTAATAAAAAGTAACAATATTTTTTCTCATCAGATGGAAAAAAAAAAAAAATTTTTGTATGTCTCAGAAATAAGAATTCAAATAGATAAAAAGTGAAAATGAATAAAACAGTTTCTGATATATTCTAAATTTAAGGATGAGCTTGAAAAGAAAATTTTTTTCTACCTTCAATGAAATATAATTTTCAGACATTTAATATTTCTGCTTGTCAAATTCATTTTGATATTCAGTCTATAACTATATTATTCAACAGAATTCAATTGTCTTATATATTCTAGTCAGTTAAAAATGACTTACTGGCAGCAAACACTCTGCATAGGGATAGAAAATGAGTTCAGCAGATATACAAAAATAAAAAGGGGGGCAAGACAAGGATGTGTCTTCTCACCAGACTTATTCAACCTTTATAGTGAAGCAATCCTGAGAGAATTAGAAATCCTACCAGAATTGATTATTGGTAACCACAATCTTAATAACCTAAGATTTGCAGATGACACAGTGTTGATAGCAGACAAGGAAATAAAACTACAAAAGCTCCTACAGAAGGTAGTGAAAGAAAGCAAGAAGAAAGGACAAAACAAACTTCAAGATAGAATGCATGGTTCTTAGCAAAAGGATGAGTCCAAAATGCAAATCAGAAATACCAAAATCAAACAAGCACAAAAATTTAAATAACTGGGAAGTTTTCTAACAGAGGACAGAAAGTGCAATACTGAAATCTGAAGATGCATTGGGATAGCCAAAGATGCCTTCCAAAAGCTAAGCAGAGTATTAAGAAACAGAAAAAATTTGTTAGAAAAAAAAAAAAAAGAAAAGAGTATTGAAGTGTTACGTGATATCTGTCCCCCGATAAGGCAGTGAATGCTTGACAATCTCAAAGATGAAGAGACTTGAAACAACAGAAATGTGGTTCTACAAAGGATGCTAAGGATACCATGGACTGAACATATGAATATTCAACAAGGTTTTAGAGAAAATGAAAACAAAAAGGAAACTTATACTTAAAATCAGGACAGTTGAAATTTCTGTGGCACATAATGAGAGAGGAGGGCTTGGAAAATCTGATACTCACAGGACAGATTATGAGCAAGAGGAAAACAAACCATAACATACTTGACAAGCTTGTATAAATGGATGGCGGAACAGGGTTTAGGAGAAATAATAAAAAGATAAAATTTATTAAGAGATACAAAGGACAGAAAATTGTGGAGAGCCATAAGCACCTACATCCTTAGGGGACATGGCACAAAGATTTTCTAAACAAAAAATTTAACCAAGGGAAAAAATGATACAATTTTAATTTCAGCTTTTTTTTTTTTATTATTCAATAAGCTTATATTTTATGCCACTTTTAAATATTCTTCCATACTTTTCTTTATAGTTTCTTTATTTTACTAAAAGTTTTTAGGGTAGGTTCTTCCTTATTTCATTATTATCAAGGTTTTCTTCTTGTCATTGCTAAATGCCGTCATTTCTTCAAAAACACTTTTCTGATATTGACATCAGTTTTGCATGGAGTTCTTTCCCTTGAAATAATATGAACAGAAATTTCTTTCACAATTTAAAAAAAAAATCATGTAAAAACTAGAAAAAAACAAAAAAAAAAAAAAACAGCCAAAAATAAAGCACTAAAAGTAAAGAATAAAAATATATTGCAATATTGATTTAATGTTTTGTCAGAAGTGGTAGCCGTAGTCTTACATAATATAGATGAACTTAGCAGTTTTTAATCTCTCGTAAATCGGTATACAAAATAAAAGGAAGGGGTTTTACAGTAATTGTGTCTATTTTCAAAAGCAAACATGCAATAGTTTCAGCAGGGTAACTTTTGTAATAACACACGTTAATTTATATTTGCAGCAAAACATGAAGAACTGTACTATAACTGCTACTACAGAGAGAGAGAGACATGCAAAACATAATAGCATTGCCAATATGATCATTCAATTCACTGGACAACCCAGAAACAGAGATAAGAACTTTTGCTGCATTTGAAAATAATAAATGGCAAAATATTTAACATGCAAGTTGAAGTCATGAAGTTGAAGAGACAGGCAGTGAAGTCATGTTGATACCAAAAATTTTCTGGATAAAATCAGGATGACCTAAATTAAAAAAAAAAAAAAAAAAAAAAAAAAAAAAAAGCAGCATCCAATTAAAGCAATTTGGATGGAATGACTATAAAAATAATGGGTACATTTCAAAGTAATTCTGAAACCGACATGTGTTTTGAAATAATTCCCATTACAGTTCAAGAATGAAACAGAAGAAAAACAGGAAAATGCTGAAGATAAAATGATACATTGGGTAGAAACGGGCATTCTTCCTCTAAATGGAAACAAAGCAAGGCCTAATATTAAGCAGAATAGTAGAGAGAATAAAAAATAATATATTGAGCAATTGTTCGATGACAGAGTGACCCTTTAAAAGGAATGAAACACAAACTAACCATAGAAAATGGCATAATATCCAATAAGGATATCTAATGGGGTAGCTCCACAAATACTGAAAAAGGACATATTAAAAGGAGTAAATGATGACGTGCATTGTGGCATAACAGCAACACAAAAAAACTAAAGTTACAAACCTGGTGGCCATGATATTCAAAAGATGTAGAGGAATACATTAAGAGATACCCAAAATGTGCAGAAATAAAAAACTTTAAGCAAGCAAAAATATTCACTCATGGTCCCAAGGAAGCAGAGGCATGGGTTAGGGGCCACATGGATCACACATATATCAAAGATAGGGATTGTTCTTAGTATTAGTGAACTCATATTCAGGATGGCCAGAGGTTGTCAGAGTAAAAGACAGAAAAGCCACCACAATAAAGCAAGTACTAAGAACTATATTCTCAAGGAATGGTGTACCCCAGACAATAGTTACCGACAATGCACCCAAATTTTCAATGAGTCTGTGGTTAAAACAGATTGGATGCATCCCATACAAGACACCACCATATCACTCACAATCTAATGGCATTGTGAAAAGAATAGTAAAAATTGTAAAAATGGGATTAAAAGCTTCTCACCACTTAATGAAAGCATAGAAGCGTATCTACCAAAAATGCTCCTTAGTTACATGTGGGAAGAAAGCTGAACCCTTCGGAATTAATGGAAAGACAAGTCAGATCCCCCATAACTATGTCCTTTGCAACAAAAGAAAAGGTATGGTATAGAAAGAATAAAGTGGTGAATCCAGAAGAAGCAAATTTCCTGATACAAAAAGGACACAACACGGCTATACTTGAGAAAAAGGGACAACATATACTGGCACATGCAGATCAATTCAGAAGTAGAAACGAACTGGATGACGTAGAAATGGAAGATCAAGAACAAGAAGAGACAGAAAGTTACAAAAGTGGAACAGAGCAGGAAATGGAAGAAAGTGAGAATGAAAAGACAGATGAGTATGGAAAAGAAAATGAAGAGAGACTGAGATCACCATGAAAGAGAAAACAAGAAAGACAAGAGGAAGGACAATACAATATGAAAATAATCAGGAATAGTAAAAGAAAAAATAACAAGGGTATATGACCTCTCCAATTCAGGGAGGTGTAGTATTGTATGCAAATTAGATAGACAAAAACTGGCAAACATGGGGAATGCCTAGCAAACCTGTTTGCTATTCAGGACATGAAGAACTGTACTATGACTGCTCCTACACAGAGAGATATGCAAAACATAAGTGATTTATTTTTAAAAATTTCTGCCTTTTGGCTAAGATCAGTTGTAGCTTATCTTTGGGTTAGACAACATATGAAATATGACTGGTTCTTGAAAATGACCACTCTGGAGCAGTAATTCCCCAGTGCACTAAAAAGTAGGTTTGATGTCCGCACACTGTGCACAAGCAAATAAATAGAATTTATTTTAGAAGTTCTATGTTAATTGCATTTCCTGACTTCAGTTTTCTTATGTAAACATACAAATATTTAATTTTTCTTAAAATTTTAGAGTTTATCAAAAGGAGGGATTCATTAATATATGACTGACTGAGTAACTGCATTTTGTGATAATAGCCATGAGATATTTCAATGTGTAATGGCAGGATGTAAAAAATAAATTTCAATACCACCCAAAACTTTTAATTATTGATTTCACTACTTGGCTTGTTAAGTACTAATTAATGTTAATTATGTAATTCCCAACATGTCTAAAAATTGCACTTCATCTTTATTTTGTCTTCTGCACACTGCTTAAGATGGATGAGTAACTGATTATCAGCAAGGGAAATGGGATCAGTGACACTTTTGAACAAATTCCCTTGGGAAAAGTATTTGCCTCTTTCCCCAAATATGGCTTAATAACAGGGTAGACTAGGATCTGTAGCCTTGGTTGGCAACCAGTCCAAGATAAGGACAACACTGAATTTCAAAGCTGTTTAGGTATGGAACTTGCAACTCTACCCCATAAAGCCTACATATTGCAAAAACCCCAGCAGCACCACTTAACATGTGATCCTATGATCATCCCGGGTAGGACGATAAACTACATGCAACAGCAAGGCCTGTGATCAGGTTTTGAAGAGTGTGGAACCACCTGTTAGGCTCCCAGCTATGGGCAAATAGTTAACCCCACAAACTGGGGTCAAAAACTATGAAAGTGAAAACAAAATAGGTTTTAATACCAGAAACACTTTGTAAAAAAAAAAAAAAAAAAAAAAAAAAGTTACCAGCAGTACATTTTTTGAAGAAAATATATTATCAGAAATAGATTTTTGAAAACAAAAAAAAAAAAATATTACCACCAACAAAAATTTTGTTGGCATTAAATAACCTATTGAGGTTGATATGCCATAAGACAAACCAAACTGTGACCCTATGCTCCACAGAGAGTCTACATATTTGACCAACATTGCTGTGGTTAATGCCTGCCTTCCATTGATAATATTTAGTTTTTGCACAATCCCCATTTTCCTTTTCTTGGACTACACATGTCATTAGAGAGAGAAAAACATTGGTGCTGAACTGCCAAATCCTAAACTAGAGATTCCACATCACATGCATGTAAAATTCCAAGGGAAAAATTCAAAACATAAGACATGGGACATTCAGATCTTTTCAAGTTCTAAGTCAATAAAGTTAGATTACGGAGTACTAGAATGAAAACTGGATTTGAATGTCGACTTAATTCAGGGTTTACTAGTCTCTTTCCAACAATTTACAGTCAAGGTGGATGCTTTTTGCCATTGGTGACAAATCAATACCACCTTATTGATATAGAGATCACATTAAAATTTCTAAAAATCATAGAGACGACCAGAAATTTCAGATCAACTAAAGCCCTAATGGGAAATGACAAGTAATTGAAGTACAATGGGAAATGATGATTGATTGAAGTACTGTTTCCAACAGTTGAAAAAGGTACTTTTCAAAGAGTCGTGATTATGGAGATTGGATGAAAACTACTTGTTTACTGCAAATGCTTGCAGACAAGCAAAGTAGACATACACTATATGTCATGATCTCAAAATTTATTGCTTTTGTTTCAATCTTCAATAAGAGAAAGATTGATACTGTATCATGCAACATTCTGCTGAGGAAGTAGAGACATTTTATCATGGTGCTGCAGTTGGCAAAATCTATGGAGTTGGTAAAGCAAGCACGTACTTTTGATGTTTTAGCCAATAGACAAGCAAGTACTAACCACTGACCTGTGAATATATGCCATGTCATGACTGCAAAATAATCATCAACCAAGCATTAGACAGATAATCATATCAGAAGACTTGCAAGCAATGACATTACATCAACCAAACATCTGATTGCCAACATCTCTGATTCACCAACTGGTGAAAAAAGGCCAACATCAAACTTGGACATATGAAAACAAACATCTTCACAAGTGCCAAGAAACCATGTGACCTAGTGGATAGAGGCATTGGTTAAAACTTATCTAGTTCCCTCTCAGTTGTGAGTTCAATTCCTGGGTATAGGAGTGATGAAAATTCAAATCCCCAGGTTAAGCAGAAGAAACAGACATAGATAGTTAAGACTGGTGAAGAGTAACTGAAAGCATGGAAAGTGAAATGAAAACAATCCATCCCCCATGTAAAAATATAAAAAAAATTATGAAAAGGTCACCAAGTATGATGACAGACATCAGAAGAAGGCCAGAAACATTGCTGAAATACTGTGAGCATAAAGAACCTAAATGTTGATCCAAATAGCAAAGCATATAATAATGAGAATTCCTCAACTTAAAAATTCTGATAAATTATAGGATATTGTGTTAATCAAATGTTTTGCTAGCCTATATTTTTGGATTTATCTACAAATAATTTATATTGCAGTTTATTAGCATAATAATTTATATTGCAGTTTATTAGCATAATAAAACCTGAGCCTTTAAAAAAATGTATCAATATATTTAATAAGGATAGATATTAAAAGCTAAAGAAATATATTAATCAATCCTAATTTTATTAAGAAAGTGTATACAGAAAAATTATAATAAACTGAGAGTTAAAATACCACAGATGACTCAAACATTTAAGAGCATTATTTTTCCAATTTAGATAAACTCCATCAACACATATTTTTAATCAAAAATATATATTTAGTAATGTTTAACCTTTTTGCCAGCATAAAAATGGGGTGTCAAATACCCTTGATAGTACTATTACTGACACTTTTGACTCCCTTGGTAATGTTTATTTACAAGATTATAAAATATATGAACCAAGTATAATGTGACATTTATTATTTACCTTTTATAAAGACATATTTACCATTTTATGAAGAAATAAATTTGAAAAGAAAACTTTATTCAAAAATTTATAAAATAATTGCAAAAACAAATTTTATTCAATTAAATAGTGTTTATTACCTTTGTTGTCAATTCTAAAAATTAAAGAAAATGTATAAATCCATTTTCATATATTTGGGTTTTATTAAAATTCTAATCATCACTTTTTAAAAACAAATATTGCTAAAGAAGTCAAGGAGACACCATTTTGTTGTGGGCACGAAGGTTAAGTATTGCCATATATTTTTCATTATATATTTGTCAGCTTTTTGTACATCAATAACTAAGAAAAAACAAAGACCAAATTTTAGACAAATTAATACAATCTGTAAAATCCAAACATATCAGCTGCCAAATATATTTAATCATTAATTTTTTAACAAGGTTTTCTTTATCAGGAGAATGTAGATATATGGCTAAATGTGAATTTTGCCTGTAATTACTGTCAAATGGGCTCCCCAGGATATGGGATAGGAGTTCAAATTTTATTTTCTTTATTTCCAAATGATGCAGCTTAATTAAACATTGTTAAAAGGACTATAATATTACAATAAAAAATAATAGTCAACAATTAATAATATCAGTTATCTGTTTCAAATAAATATTGTATACCTGTTTTTAATCTCCCCATTTTAAATCCAGCATTTTCTAAAGACTTTGCAAGGCCAATGGCCGGTTCATCTCCAACTCTGCCAGCAGGACGGGATTTTAAACCAATTGTAATGCAACCATGAAGAAAAGTACCAGTTGTTAAAACAACAGATTTCCCAAATATTTTCTGGCCATTGCCTATAAAAGACAAATATTGAGAAGGTTTGTTCAAATACTTTTTATGTAAATAGCAAGTTAAAAAGATAAAGAAATTTCAAATGATTTTTTTTAAACAAAATTTAAAAAAAATAAGTTTTCAATAAGAACAATTAAAGGGAACGTAATCAAAATAGGATCAAATAAGTTTTTACATTTTGATGAATGGTTCAGCTTAATTTAAACTTTCACCAGTTTAAGCTAAACAAAAGCTGCTGGACCAGGTTTAAATGTTTAGTTTTCAAAACAGATTACAATTGACAATTAAAAAGTGAATACTCTGCAACAACATGGCATGCAAGTGAAATGAACCACCATTAATTGTACTAAAGATCAGTTTTTATTTGAAGAGGCTAATGCTATGTATGTTGGAATTGAAAGAGTATTCAAAACATTTCCTTCTACAGAAACAAACAATTCAAATGAGTACAGTTCCCAATTACAACAATATTGAAGCTGTGGCCCTCTACTTCACAAGTGAGTTTACAGGATTAACATTATATATAAACAACTGTCCAAAAGTCTTGGGCCATCCTCTGGATTTTGAAAAAAATCACCTAAAAATTAAAGGTTTCATGCTTTTTTCAAAATTAGCTTGCTTAAGGCCAGACAGATTTTCTCTTCAGTTAGATTAGGCAAAAGGAGCTAGAGTTTTTAAGGAAAATTAACCCATGACTGTATAAAGTTTCCTTAAAATTTTAGCTCTGTTTTACCTAATCTACTTTGCTGGCAGATGGTAATCTTAGGGCTGACAGGTTTTAAATTTTAGGCAACTTCCTCTCTAAAAAATTGAACACCATGCACTAATGGGTTAAGTAGTTTTAGCATCCTAACTTAGTTGGAGTTAATTAAAGCAAAGTATTAAACATAGTAATTATTAAATCCAGAGAATTCCCCCAAAATTTTTGGTCAATCGTGTAGCTCCTAATCAGATCAATTGAAGGTACCAATCAATGAAAAATCAAGTGATATTAGTTAAGAGATTATTCTACCAGAAAAACGTGTTTCTTTGGTGTCTAAGTAAAAATTGTTACAGTTTATCTGGAAAGTTTTCATTCCTTCACTGTATTCGAAAGAATATAGCATCTTTTGATCACTATTCATTCTGATATTCAAAAAATTATTTTCATGAAAATAATTTAAATTCTCAAGAAGAATGCAAAAACATATCTAGAGCAGTTTATTGAGAAAGATACAAAGTTCTGGGAGGATGGAATTATGAAGCTGACTGGAAGCTGGCAGAAGATAGAACAAAATGGTAAAGTTAATGTTAAAAATTTTATTTTTATTTAATAAAGTGTTACCCAATAAATAGAAAGAATCTAAGTAATCAATCAATCATTAATATTTAAAAAAAAAAAAAAAAAAAAAAAAAAAAGCCTGAAATGTTATAATTTTATCAAAACATCTGAAGAGTTATAAATATTCAGTGCTAGTACAATATTTAGTTTATTGAAAGGTGTAGACTCTACCAACCTAAACTTGTGCATGACAAAATGGACACAGAATGAAAATGATAGTCTCAAAAGACTACTTCAAGCTAGTTGTTACTTAGATGTAATAAGAATTGTTACTTTGCCTCTGCCCAGTGAATGCTGTGACAACACACATATACACAATTATATCATACTGTTATTATTTCCAAAGTAGCTGCTGTATCTTTCTTTATTCAAACATATGAAATTGTGAAACTGGCGAAGACATTGACTTCTTTTGTCTAGAAGTAATAAGTGATCATAAGATGTCTTAAAAAATTAAAAACCTTAATATATCTAACCAAGAATCACTCCATAGCATTCTTGTTGCATTAATTTGTGGTCTGGCTTCATGGCTTCCTTTAATAGCAGATCTTCTACAGGAGATTCCATTATTGTCAGAAAGGGAAGATTAAGAAGTTCTTGTTGAATAAATGATTTGTATAAGGCACGATCTATCTGAGCCCTAGGACCCTGTAAAATAGAAAGTTTACATTATATAGTAATGGCAAAAGGAGTTAAAATATTCATAGTATATTTTGATTTAGTGAAAACATTTTTGAAACATTTTATTAACTACTTTTTCATGTCTTTATTGTTCTGATTACTTATTGGATTTTAAAAATTTACCATAGATTTTACAAAGTTCAAAATTATTTCCTAAATTTTTTAAAGTTTAAAATAAATTTACAAAATGTCATCTTTCAAAAAGTACCAAAATGCTCAAATTTTACTTAAAAAGTTATAAATTTTGTATTTTGACAATATAAAAATGTTTAGTCATAAAAAAAAAAAAAAAGATAAATAAAATTAATGAAAACTTACCAAAATTAAATTAAAATTACATTTAGAATAATGAAGAAACTTAAAATTTTTATTTATTGCCAAAATATAAAAAATAAAAGCCGGAATAAAAGATCATTTGAGGAGTACAGAGGATGAGTAAAAACTTTGCTGCCAAGATATAACAATATTTGGTCACTAATGAAATATGCAGGCAAGTGTTATTTTAATAAAATATGATGCCCTTTCTGTTAATTCTGATTCTTTTCACCAATTACTGCATTTCATTAATTTAATTGGGAGCATTATTTGAATCAAATGTTGGTTTCTTTGGAGCTCATATTTCCCTTTCAATTTGGCCATATATACTTCTCTGGATGAAGAAACACCTTTGGTAATGTTGATTAGGACTCATTTTATCTACCCCATGATCACAGGTATTTTACAATGTTGTAAAGTATCCACTCTTCATTGCTACTCATAACTTGGTTAAAAGAAAAAAAAAAAGGGAAAATTTTCATTGTGTTTAAGTAGAAAATCATATATTAAAATAATGTCCATGTCCAATAGGTTTTCTTGTGGAAGCCACATACTAAAATGATTAACATGGCCAAGTGGATGCAAAGATTTTACAATGCTTGATTTAAATATTTTGAATATGTTGCCTATCACCCATGTCATATAATATGTATTCTTCTCAAATAATGTCTTTATTTGATTGCTGTCACTCTCAATAGAGAATCATTTTGCAAAAAAATACTTGATGGTAGCTCCAAGCAAGACACAAAAGGAACATTACTTTAGGAACATCAATCATGAATTTTAAAGTGAACTACTTTTTTCTTTTATAAATCAAATAATCAAAAGCTATCTGTATTTCTGAGATGAGGTATTGCAATTATTTATATCGTTTGGACTGTTGTCCTCATCTTTGAGATATTCATGATGTTTCATCCGTTGTACACTCCAACCTTCTTCAGGTGATATACATTAGAATTTCGAACCAAACCCTTTATCTAGTCCACAAAAGTAGATTATTCTAATTCCATGTGCCATGCCTTTTTTTTTTTTTTCAATATCTTAGTATCAGTTAATAACAGTTGTGAGTTCAATACCTAGGCACAACTGAGGAAACAAAATATGAAGAGTTGAGTTACTAAAGGGAATTAACTGATACTGAGATATCCAAAAAAAAAAAAAAAAAAAAAAAAGGCATGATACATGGAATTAGAACAATCCATCCTTGCGGACTAAAGGGTTTGGCTCAGAATTCCAACATATAACAACTGAAGAAGGTCAGAGTGTACAATGGCCAAAATGTCATGAAGATAGCAATAAAGATTACAACAGTCTGAATGATGTAAATAGAATAATCAAAGCATTTTATATTTTTTCATTTACATTTAAAAGAAATTAAATAAAACAATTACCCAGACAGCTGGTCCTTTCTTGGTATTGAGCATTCTATACTGGACACCAGTTTCATCTGGAAAAAAAATGTGTGTATTTCAGTCTGTGGCATAAAAAAAGAATTTATGTTTTTCAACATATCTCCTTTCCTGTCAATGCCCTTAATCCCATAGATCAAAATTTATGCAATTTAAAATTTTTTTTAGATCAAATTCAACTCATAACTACATGTATGGCTATAAAATTGTTCATACACCTTCATTGTAAGTATATATTAATTATTAAAATTAACAATTTTAATAATTAGCCTTATTTTCTTTAAATTTTGAGAACTTCAAATAATTTTTACATCTTCTAAAACATTTATATAATTTTCAGTTTTATTTTACATATGGAAAGGACTTTAATATTTTTAATATTACTGAAACAGACTGGTGAAATTGAAGAGACTTGAAAGTGATCTTTCAAATTTGCAAAATCATAAAATAAATAAGTTTATAAATATTTTGGTGATTTTTGTTTTTAGATAATAAATTTAGTATAAGTTTAATAAAATTAAGACATTCTTCAAGTGTCTATCTACATGTCTGAGAGGAGTTATGATTATTTACATTATTCGGACTGTTCATTGCTATATTCACAAGGTTTTGACCGTTGTACACTCTGGCCATCTTCAGGTGAACCAAACCCTTTATTTTGTCCACTAGAGTAGAGTGTTCTAGTTCCACATATCATGCCTCTTTAGGATGTCTCAGTTATTTCCCTTTAACTCAACTCTCCAAGTTCTTGGTTCACCACTGCCTGGTACTGAACTCACAACTCTTTGGATCTAGTCACTGGATCTAACCAACGTCTTTATCAACTGGGCCATGTGTCCTGGAGGACATCTTTTTTTGAATTTCTGGGTCTTATAAACCTAATGTCTCAGCAACCGTTTTTTAACAGTGCTCACATTCAATTTTTTTTTTAGCAGAGCTTATATCGCAATTTTTTTTTTGTTGTTCATTGCTTTTTTTTCTAGCACTCCTTATTACTAGTTCCCATATTGTATTCATTTCTATGCTTGTCTGGCTCAGGTTTTTTGTGGCCTTACATATGTGCTGATTCCTTAAGTTTTCATATTCTCCATTGATGCTCTCTATTATTTCAACCTCATCCCACAGGGAGCAGTGATCTCCCTTTTCCACCAGTGAAACCAAGAGCCAAGAACTTAGAGAATTGAGAAAAAGAAATAACCAAGACATCCAGAAGAGGCATGGCACATGGAACTAGAACAATCTACCCTGGTGGATGAAATAAAGGGTTCAGTTCAAAATTCAAATCATCTGAAAAAGGCCGGAGTGTACAATGGCCAAAACGTTGTGAGTATGGCAATGAAGATGAGGATAACATTCCAAACAATATAAATATTCCTCAAGTGTTACAAATAAAATTGAACAATTAGCAAAGACTAAAATTATTAAGAAAATAACAAACAAGTATATATCAAAAAATAAAAAATATTTCTAAATGAGTGAATTTTTTTTTTTAAGATATTAGTTATTTTAGGAGAAATTGCAACCCATCTGCAGATTCTAGTCTCTTCATACTTGTTCTTTTATTCAGTCTTAAAACAATTATTATCATTCATTCAATTTAATCAATTAAATAAAAATAGGTTTAAAATGCAGTATACTTTTCCTTAAGAAACAATCTTGTATTAGAAAAAGAAAAGTCATATTTACATTATTTACAGTTCAACTAATGTCTTGATCTTTGTTGTTGTTATCACATTTTGACTTGTGCCTGCCAACCTTTTTCAGGTGGCTATCAATCTGGGTATGCATCAGGGAATTTCTCACTGAACCCTTTATTTAGTCTACAGAGGTAGATCTCATTCTATTGTTCTCTTTTTTCACACTGTTCAGTTATTGCTAACCCTAGTTCCACCGAGTCTGTACTACCCAGCCCAGGGATTGAACAAAATTACTATGTCACCAAATTCATGAACCAATGCTTTAATCGACTAGGTTTCATGGATAATTCCAAATCTACAACTGGAAGCCTTAAAACTAATGTTTTTATTGCCTGCCTGCTGTTGTCACCTTAATGCTAAATATCTTTCACTTGTCATTTTTGTTTCTGCTGAAGTCATTTCTGTCAAACTTAACTCTTACTGTTGTCATCTCTCTTTATTAATGGCTTCTATATGGTATGCATTTCTATGTTAGGCCTAGTTAAGAGGCCAGATTTCTTTAAATGTTAGATTTTCCAGTGTTCTTCTGTCTAGTATTTATACTTTATTCCATGAGGGCAATGACCATGTTTTTCCTCCATCCATGCTTAAAATATTGCTGCTATATATGGCCTAGTCATCGTTCTATATATTTAGAGATCATTGATAACATTCAAAAGAATATGTGATGCTATTGGTCTTGATCTACTATCTCAACTTCAGTTGCTTTCCCACTGCCATAATGTAGCTTCTCTATGCCTTTTCTATAAATATATATTCATGGTAAATGTTCTAATGAATTCTCTTCTATGGTACCTAGACTATGAATTTAAGCACGTTACTAGATTGGCAGCAAGATCTCATTTTACAGTCAAAATTGGCTAGATGTAACTAAGTTTTATGCTAAGTTTCTTTTCTTGCAATTATTACTTGTGGAAATCATCTGGCTTCTTGCTTTCCAGTCAAATTTGATTTTCTTATATTCTTTCACACTCGATAACCCCCTGTGTGTTAGTGGCTCTGTCACCTTGCTTAGGGTGAAAGGGTTTAAAAAAAAAAAATAAATAAATACATGATTAGCCATGCCTGATTTCATTCTCACTCCTAATTATGGTTTTTTGATGTTTCTCCAGCCTTAATACTAGGGTTTGGCTAATTTCACCTTTGTATTTTTTGTCACAACTAAAATGGTTAAAGAAATAAGTATCAAATCAAACTCACCACAAGCCCTTCCACATAGTCCATCCAAAGCATCAATTTCTTTCATCAGGTGACCTTTACCAATACCACCAAAAGATGGGTTGCATGACATAGCTCCTGTGAAAAGTTACAAATAGAAAGAAATTCTTATACAATTTGTGAATGATTTGATTTAAAGCATTTATGCACTTATTTAGCATTGACTGAATTACCATCTCTGGAAAAAATCCAGCAGAAAAACTTCTCAAATACAGAACATTTCTAACAATTTGCTTTTTACTGTAATGGATTGTAGCAAGCCTTCATTATAATCAGGCCTTCATTGTCTGGGATAAGGACTGTATAAATAATTTCAACATGAAATAAAATCCATGGGTGGCTAACTATAACTAATTTTTTCATTGTATACAAATAATAAATGAACTGACAAGCTGTGCAATTCTCGCTGCATTAAACAAATTACCCTCCTTCATTTACAAAACAAATTACCCTCCTTCATTTACAAAACAAATTACCCTCCTTCATTTACAAAACAAATTACCCTCCTTCATTTACAAAACAAATTACCCTCCTTCATTTACAAAACAAATTACCCTCCTTCATTTACAAAACAAATTACCCTCCTTCATTTACAAAACAAATTACCCTCCTTCATTTACAAAACAAATTACCCTCCTTCATTTACAAAACAAATTACCCTCCTTCATTTACAAAACAAATTACCCTCCTTCATTTACAAAACAAATTACCCTCCTTCATTTACAAAACAAATTACCCTCCTTCATTTACAAAACAAATTACCCTCCTTCATTTAAAAACAAATTACCTCCTTCATTTACAAAACAAATTACCTCCTTCATTTACAAAACAAATTACCCTCCTTCATTTACAAATTACCTCCTTCATTTACAAAACAAATTACCCTCCTTCATTTACAAAACAAATTACCTCCTTCATTTACAAAACAAATTACCTCCTTCATTTACAAAACAAATTACCTCCTTCATTTACAAAACAAATTACCCTCCTTCATTTACAAAACAAATTACCCTCCTTCATTTACAAAACAAATTACCCTCCTTCATTTACAAAACATTACCCAAAAGTTAGTGAAATTTGGCCATAAAAATAATTGCACTATGACCTAATTTTTACAGTCTCCTTTGAAGTAGTACTTCAAAGAAAATGGTGGAAATTACTGGGTAATATAAAACATACATTCAAATTGAGTAAAAATAAAAGATAACTTTTCAATTTTTGATATTAACTTTATTGAACATTTTGTTCCACTATCTTCTGCCATAGTTCAGAATTCTATGCTCCCAAAACATGTTTTCTTTGGGGGAAAAAAAAAAAAAAATCTGGAAAATGCTAATTTAAAAAGCAGTAAAATATTTGGTGAATATAGTGAATGAGTAGATATTTATAATGCCATGCTCTAACTGCATGATCACCAAAGAAACACATGGCTTATTGTTATTTTGATAGAATATTTTCCTCCATTAGAACATTTTCCCCACAATTTCTGCTACACTGCAATTAGATCTTTTTCTGGTTATTTTGTGTCAGTATGGTGGGGTGGGGGGCAAAGATTAGAAATTTTAGCATCTTTTGCAGTGAAAAGCACATTGATTTGGAAATTCTTGCAAAAATTAAATAATAGTCAGATTTTAATTAAATTTTCAGGATTTATTCACAAATGAATTAAATTATTTTAGAAAGGTTTTTATTAGAAAATTTTGGTACAAATCTTTTTTTCTTTACATGTTTCCCCCCTTAATTTTATGAAAACTTGAGAAATTCAACATGATAATTTTTAGTGACTATATTAGTTAAAAAGCAGAATTCTTTGAAGAATTTAAATCTGCAATTTTTTTTTCTTTCACAAAATTGGACCCCGTCTTACATAAAATCTGCTCTAAATCAAAAAGTAAAAAACAATAAAACTAAGACATTTAATTACAGAAGCTTTTAATTGCATTTTTTATGAATAATATATTAAGGACAATATTGTCTTAAGAAAATCTCTATGAAAAATGAATTTTTACAAGATTTGTTTTCATTTTTTAAATTTTAATTATGATACATTGAGAGAATTTATCAAAATTTCCGTCTAACTTTCTAGGATGAGGTTTTATCATGATTTGTATTATTTACAATCGGACTAACATCCTCATCTTTGTTGCTATTCTCACAATATTTCAGCCTTCTTCAGAAGGTGTGTCAATTCAAGTAACCTTCAGGGAATTTTGAGCTGGACCCTTTAATCTACAAGAGTAAAGGTTCAATTTCAATCAAAAGTCTACAAGAATGGTTTGTTCTTGTTCTGCTGTCCATGTGTAGGGATATCATGAAGTGTTCTTTTTTATTATTAATGATCACATACTGCTAGTCTGAACTACCTGGTCCAGAGACTGAAGAACTCACAACGACTACTTGTGATGATAACATTCTGAATGTAAAAAATTGTAAATTGCTATCTATTCTCTTCCTGATTACTAGTCTTCTGTTGTTATCACTCCTTAATAATGTTTCGGTTTTCTAATTCTTTCATATTCAGTAACACCTTGTGTCTTAGTGGCTTTACTGCCTTGCATGGAAGTGAATTTGATTAAAAAAATTATCAATAATTTTACCGATTTATAATGGTACAAGAGTTGTCTCCCTTACACTCAAGAAAAATACACTTTCTCACATGAATGAAAAAGTAAAACAAACCGACTTACCGATAGTGTTTATTTTGTGAGTAATGAGAAGCGTATTTGTCCCCATACGAGCAGCGGCGTGTGCAGCTTCTGTTCCTGCATGACCTCCTCCAACCACAATAACATCATAACCACAAGAGGAAGAACTTAAAATCTGGGTGGCTAATGAATGAGTTTGCGAATTGATCAGTTTTCTACAAGAGGACAACCTCATTGTTCCTGGAAATTTATACGTAGATATACTGAAAGAAATACAATAGGAAAATAAAAATATCAAGTGCGCCAAACTTTTGAAAAAAAAATTTATCATATAGTATATCGTTAAAGTTCAACTACTCCGATTCGCTAAAAAACATAAAGTTTTTTTTTTTTAAATTAACAAGCCATAATGAAAGAATGCACAAAAACTTAATAAAAACAAAGTTTTATCGTCAAAATCTTTGTCATTAAGAAGAGGAAAGACAAAAAGAATTTTTTTGATTATTAAATTATATTTTAATTTTCTTTATATCTTTTTTAGAATGTTTGAAATTTTGGTTCAATTTTTTTTTTTTTTTTCGACAGCAGAGGGAGGGGACAAAGTAGTTAGGATATTTTAGTTTTGGGGGGTGAAAAAGACACATTGATTTGGAAATTTTCGCAAAACAAATAAATAAAATAAATAAATGTTGGATTTTAATGAAACTTTCAGAACATTCACAAATGAATAAAATTATTTTAGAATTTTTTATTTTTTTTAGAAAATTTAGGTATATATATTAAGTTATTCCAAAATTCGCTTGAAGATGAAACAGAACTAATGCTTTTAATTTATTTAATTATATAATTAAATTTGAAGTTTTTAGCTTCAATTTTTGAAACATGGTTATTACTGTGTAGCGAAGAAACCATATTTTAAGTCAGTTAAATTTATTTATGCTCTGTAAATTTACATTGAGCACTGTTTTGTAAAAATAAAAATAAAATATCAATAAGAACACAGGATTATATAATGTTCTTTCTTTTTATTTATTATCAATCAATTGTGTGTGTTGTACACAACAAAATAAGCGTTTCTCTTGTGTCCGTATCAGGTCTCCAAATTGGAATGTCAGATTGATGTTCCCCATTTGAGGCTAAGTTAGTTTTCTTATCCCCGGATTTGGAGAGAAAGTTAAATTCTTATTTTTGAAGTCACCATTTCGGAACATCATAGTCATGTTTTATGTTTTTAGAGCGACTTATTGCCTTGTAGAATAAGTTATGCAAAAATTTACTACTACGAGGACAAACGTGACTCAACAAAGGTCATTTTAATGTGGGGTTTCACACACATGTCTGTTAGTACTAACAAAAATAAGTCACATAATCACTGACTTTTTTTTTTTTTTTTAACGAAGGTTTAGGGAGCCTATCCACAGTGCTTACGCCGTTGTGGCAATGTGGGTGTTGCTGTCCGGTGGACAGATCCTCAGGTGTGTGGAATGCTTTTGTACCCTGTTTGGTTTGAAGCTTCTGACTAGTTTTAATTTTAAAATTAAAAGTGCATTCTACACTAAAAGAGTGCTAAATTTTTACATTAAAAAGTCATTTTTAAGAACATATTTATTTAAATCAGAAATAGATGTTTTAAAAATTCTCCATATTTATTTTTTCGAGTGCTTATTGGTAAGTGGTGCGTGTCGGTGTACTGCAGAATGATTATCGACGCGGGAAGTGAAATTAGCAAGCAGAGTTCAAATTTCAAGCTAGTCTGTTGCGCTCCCTCCATTTTTTTGCTTTTTTGTATTAATGCTCTTGGAAAAAACACGAATACGTCTCTTCTTTCTCCCCCAGTTAAGAAGAGTAAATTTACATTTTACTATGATTTCTAGCTTTGGGCGGCAACCAATAAATCTAATAATGGAGACTGAATTTTAAAGAGAAGCCAACGGGAAACCAGTCCATTTTCCAAGAATGTATGGTAATTAACAGAAAAAGAAAAAGTCTGTGGAAAAAGTCGTGATCGCCTACGTCCCACAAAGCCATATGCCATGCAATTTTTTTTAAATAAGGGTAAGCGTAGATATTGCCATGTGCTTCATTTGGATTTTTTTTTTAAACAAATCTGAATTCCAAGTTTTTGTTCAAATTTTCTTTGCTTCGTTCACGATGATTATTTTACTTTTTTTCTTTTTTTTTACATTATTTTGTTTTTAATTAAACGTCAAAGCTAAATTAAAAAATAAATACAAGCCATTTTTTAGGTTTTGTCAACTTTAATTTTATATTCTATAAAAAATGTTTTGCATTTTTTTTGTACAAAAGAATGTATTTGATTTAAAGAATCATGTATAAAGGAAGGAAGTATAGAACAAAGAACGCAATAAAAGATGAATTCTGACATAGGTGCCTGTCAAAAAGTTATTGCGGAGACAAAAATTAAGAAATTGTTTTGTTTTGTAATTTTTTTTTTTTTTTTTTTTTTTTTGGACTCGTCTCATCCCCGATTGTTTTACGTTTGCCTAAAAAAAAAAAAAAAAGAAAGCTACCGTGACGGGTCTAAAAATAAAAGTTTACCCCCCACCCAAAAAAACAAAAACAATTTAACTATTACTCTTATGATTTTATCATATTGCAAATAAGTTTGTTACTACTTAATTGTTAAGATTTCAAGGATGAGGAGAAATCTCTTAAGTTACCGACCAACATTTTCTCAACGAAAACTAAACGCGTCGTGCAAAATGACAGTAAGTTAGTAAATACTGCATTTAAATAAATCCAAAGAAAGACATGAAATCCATAAAACAGAAAATTGCTACAGTACTTAAACTCTAGAACTTAAAAAGGTAAATAATAGCAAAGTTAAGTTTTTAGAGAACTATGAATGAACAAAAAGTAAAACAAAATGTAAACATTAAAGCAAAATAATTTTTATTTTTAAATAACTTTCAGTTTTAGTTGAAAACTTATTAGAAGTGTTAGATGTGAACAAGAATTGAGTTTTTAATTAGAATACGTATTATCGGGCTTTTAAAACTTACCTTTTTGTTCAACAACTTAACACATGTTTATAACACATTTTCACATGGCATGGATCGCTACAAGATCAACCGGTGAATAGTAAAAAAAACAATCCTTAAAAATACTTACCTACCCACAAGTTTAGGTTTAATGTGGAGTTCGACAGACGTTCAAGTAGAGTAGACAGTGCCAAAAGTTAGAGGTAAACAGAAAATCAACATTCGAACAAAAAACCTAGTCTTGAACACATGCTTAACTACGAGGTAGTCCACTGACGTCTTTTACGTTGTTAATCTTTCAATTTAAAAAGTAAAAAAAAAAAACAAACTAACCCTTGAACTTGAATAAAGTGATATATATTTTCTGTTTACGTTATTTTTATAGATACAGATATTTAAGTAAATTCTCTGTTTATAATAATAATAAAAAAACAAAAAAAAACAGTATTAACTACATTTTCCACACACTTCCTCTGTAGCTAAATAGTATAGCACGTCAGGCTATATGACGGTTCCGTGTAAGATACAGGTTCGATTCGGAGGACATGAATTTTCTTAGACATTCAGGCCGATAAATGTATTGTAGTTAATACTGTTTAAATTAAACAGAGCATGTACTTAAATTTGTACGTATCTCTAAAAATTAAAAAATAACGTAAACAGAAAAAATATTGAAATGATTGTCGGACTTTTAGTCCATTTCATAATGTGATTTATAAAATACTAAAACAGCTTTCCTTGTGAAAAAGAACTTTTTCAATGCTTTTTTAGACTCGTTTTAATTAAAACTCGAATTTAAAAGCATTGAAGAAAGAAAGTTCTCTTAAGTAAAATTTAAGATTTTTCCCCCCCCAATTTTTTTTCTGATTAAGACTTTTATTTACATCAAGTGCTTATTTTTATTTTTTTCTCGTGAGCTTCTGAATCTTTCTAAAACAAAAAATGAATACAACTATCGATCGAGTTTAAAATGTTGATATCAGAAATGAGTTGCTAGCTAAACGTATCCAGGTAAACAAAACATAAGAATTAAAATGGCTACCGCGCCACTAATTTTTTCTCTAATGACAAGTGAAGGAGTACAATGTAATAAATAAGAAGTACTTTTGTAAAATCGGATGTTTATACTTACACAGGGATACAACATTAGTAAGTTTTATTTCTTTGTTACGTAAATTATAAATTTATAATAAATTTCTGTTGTTACAATTCATTCAGGGAACAACAAAAAAAATAACATCTGTTTTATGATGAAATTGAAATACTCCTACTGCTACACTAGTTGATTAATAAGTGCAGACACCAGGAAATATTCTCTGTCCATTTTTCTCTCCCCACACTTTTTTTTTTTTTTTTTTTTTAGTTAAGTCCCAGGTTCAAGTGCAGTAGGCACTTAAATATAATTCGGATTCATCTTCAATCTCACCTACACATGCCAAAATTTTCAATGTTGTTGAATCACAACATCTTTAAATCTTTAATAAATCCTACCTGTGATATCACAAAAACAGTTAATATTAAAAAAAATTAATTTAAAATAATTTCTAATGCATTTCTATAGTAAAATAATTTCCAGTGGCTTATTTGTTAAATCGGGCCACTCATAATTATTATTAAGTGAATGAAAGTCTTGACATTTGTTTACTATTTTACTTGTGGTATCACTGGTTGTCAAGTGGTCAGCAACTAAACCGACTCCCCCACCAGACCAGAGTCTGGTGAGGAGGGTAAATGGAACCCCAGGAGCACAAAAAAACAAGAGCTGTTAAAAGGTGGATGGACTTCTCAGAGACAATGGCCATCCACCACAACTGTGGGTTAAATATCCTCACCAACCCCCTATCAGCCAAGTGTGATGAGTACAGCCACAGCTACACCACTGAAGACATGGCCAATCAGAGAGGAGTTCCTTTAACAAGAGTGAGAGGGCTCTGCATTTAGATTTGGATCACTAGTTAAGACAACTACTTACTTTTATAATGAGTATATGGCTGAGTGATTAGAAGAGTTAGTATTCTAACCATGGGACTCAGGTTTTAATATCACTATGGTCAATTTGTTAAGCTTCTCCTGATAATATTGGCTCAGAAACATGATCCAAGTTTGTGGGACCTGAAACTCTACCAAACTTTGTGAGAAAAAATGGTGTTTGAAAGCTGTTGATGGTTATGCAAGTCCTTGTTCAACACTGCTAATCATGCCAATTATGCATTCACTGCAAGAAATTAAATTGTAATTAATGTCAGATTAGCATAGTTTAAGGGTATCAAATAAACACAAATGTACACTATAGGCCAAAAGTTCTGACCAGCCTCTGGATTTTGAAGAATCACATCAAAATAGGAGGTTGCATGTCTTTTCTAAAACTGATTTACAAGCTCATTTCAAGCCTTCTTTTTTTGCAAGCTTTTATCATATATTCAATAACAATGAAATTAACTCATTACTGTATAAAGTTTCATTAAAATATTAGCTCTTTTTGCTTAATCTGCCTTTCTAGCTAATGGAAATCCTAGAGTTGGTAGATTTTAAATCTAAGGTAACCTCTTATTTACTTTGTTTTCAGATTCTCACTAAGAGCCACACTTATTGTTGTCACTTCATTGAAAGTGTGTGCATGACCTTAAATCTTAGAAAATATTTTAATCAAGATGTAAATCCATAATTTATCTAAGGTTAAAAATTTGAGTGTTATTGGATCTTTTTATCCAATAACATGGAATTTTTTAAATGAAGTGTTGTTTTTCATTCCCTTCATAATATGAACAACTATCATCATCTTTGTTGTTTCTATCACATTTTGACTGAGATATTTTTTAGTTTTCACAAGTGTTACATTTTATAACCTTTGAGTATCAGACAATTTTTTTTTTGTTTTTATTTTTTCTCATCAAGCCACTTCTTCAACAGGTACAGTTCCCCAACCCAAACATCAAAATGTCATGCTGACACAGGAAATTATCGAAAAGAAAATCTAATTGTATAAACTGATGTAATCATCATCTTCTCTCTCCTAGAACCCTGGCCTATTATTGTTCTCTTCCTTCTCAATGTTTTCTCAGTCTCTGTAACCCCTTATGGCTTGGTGGCTTTATTGCCTTGCTTGGGATGAAATGATTAAAAAAATACACACTTGAAGAAGTCTGAAAAAAACTGGTAAAAATCTCATGATACAAACAACAAAGATTAGAAAATAGTAAAATAATTCATACAATAATTATATATTTATTTGTTTTTAATTCTATCAGTTCTATTTTTTTTTTTTTTTTTTTTTTTTTTTTAAAAATATATAGATTTGTAAGAACTCCATTTGCCTTCATTCACTGTCTTGATGGCTTGTCTTTTGGGATCTTTGTCATGTATGGAAGCTCTGCTGGAAGATGTCCATGATTTACAGTCAGTTATTTCTGAATATGTGTCTCACCTTGGTCCACTGAATTGTCCATCTTGGAAATATCCAGACCAACTTGCAGGTGATGTAAACATCAACCAGCTGCTATCACAGTACACAAGCTACCTTACAGATGATTCTAGTCAGGAAGAGGACATTAAACAGGTGGCACATGTGGCTCTGTATGAACTTGTAATTGACAGGTACAGTGTCCAACTTTCTATATTTATGAGTCTATCAAACAATTTCTTAAAGTATTGAACACAATTTCAATTTTTAGTTTAGGCTAAACGTCAATTATTAATGATTACAAGAGAAAGAAACAGTGCTATTTAGCTAGATATCATTTGTAATAACAGATAAACACTATAATGTGTTAGAATGATACTGGAAATGATTTTGTGTTTTATTTTTTGATTTTGTTTCTCTCTATCAGTTTTCTTAGTTGTAAATTGTCATTGAAATGTCAAAAGATTTAAATAAGCACTGTTTGTTTTTCCCATAATTCCACTACATCTCATGATGATTAACTAATTTTGTGAGCAAATCATTTCAAGAAAGTTAATGTCTTAGTTTGACCAATGTATCAACAGAGTGTATTTAAGAAATGTGATTTTGAAACAATAATTTTTTTTATGTACCTGTTCACTTCAGCCTCAAATCAAAGTGTAGCTCTTTGGCACTTCTGCCTCAGATCAGTCAGCAGGCTAGGATCCATATACATATATGTTTCTCCTCAACTGCATGCTTCACAAGGACTAAACAATTTTTGTCTATATGGAGTCTTATATTTTTTAATAGCCTTGTGCTATAATCCACCTCCATGAGAGAATGAGTAAATACAGGATCAGAGTACTTTTAGTGTGTGTGTGTGTGTGTGTGTGTATATATATATATATATATTAAAATAATAAGAAAGAACAGTAAGATTTACAATCCGTTCTTAGTAATTATTTTTATTTTTAAAAAAACAGAGTTCGATACAAAAACGGTAGAGCATAAAATTATAATTATTTTCTATTTTAAAAATATAGTCCCATCACTACACAGGAATTACCATGTTTCAAAACAGAAACTAAAATTTTAAATTTAATTATAAACTTAAATTTAAAATCCATAGCTTCGTTCAATTCTAAAGCGATTTTTGGAATAACCTATTAAAAAGTTTACTTCACTTATAAGCACGGACAAACTGAATATTTTAAATTGTTAAGGTTGTGAAAAAATTTAATCATTTTGATAAGGGGTTTTTGGGTTTTAATTTCCCTAGACAACTTATGTATCAAATATAAGTTACTTTCAAAATCAGGTTAAGTTAAGGTGGGGGTAGGGGTGCCTGCTCACAAACAATGATATCCATTTTTTGTGTGTCGTCTGGGATTTTCAATGATAAAAAGTTTTTGGCATTTTTATTTTAATTTATAATTTTATACACAAAGATTTCTTAAAGGGGTCAACTGAATATGAGTAAGTCGCATTTTTAATATTTAAAATTTATTCCTACAAATTTAAAGTACTCTTCTACTTCTAATGACTAATAGGCTATACGTTATTTTTTATAAATAAATATTAGAATCACATTCATATTTTTTAAAAATTATTAATCAAAGATCAAGTATATGTATGTTTCATCTTTCATCTCTTTTTCAAAATTAAACAATATTTGACAGTGTCTACAAAAAATAGCTATTTCATTTCTTTGATTAAGTAAATTTTTATTTTTGCAGAAACTTATTAATGTATAATTTTTCATGTATTCACAAAGGTCATTTAATGACCTACAAGCTCTAGCTCTTCTTATTAATTTTCATCTTACTGTTTGGTGTTTTATTGGTGTTATACCGGAACGTACCTATTCTATTGTAAATAGACTCTCCCAGATATAATAAGTAGTAGTAGTAGTAGTAACAGTCGCCAGGGGGCTCAGTGAGTTGAGTGAGTCAGTCGACGTCGGACATTAAAGTATCAACCATCACAACTAGATTGCTGCGTCATTAACTATTATTTCAAGTTCCTAACGTTTTGTACGTCGGACCCTTTTAGGACCGACTTAGTGAAATACAAGCCTCCACTGTGAAAACTACTCTACAACAATTGGTTACTTTTAAGTTCCATAAATATTTACATAGGGATGTTTGATTTCTGTATTTATTATTTTTAAAGGGCATTTCATGTTGGTTCCAATGTCTTTTGAAATCATGTTTTGTGCAGCTGATGTAGATTTTAACTACGTCTGGATGTTTAGTAGATGAAATATTGCATTGATAACCAATGAATCCATGCAATATTTATTATTGAGAGGACAGTTTTGAGGATTTCTACAGTTACATAATTTTTCCTTATCATCATTTCTTTTGAGTTTAGGATCTAGATTTTTTGATTTTGGTTTAAGTGTTTACTCAAGATATTAGCATTATGTTTCTTAATAATCATTTCTAAGTTTTCAGTACTTCTTAATAGGTTATTCCAAAAATCACTTGAGAATGGAACAGCGCTATGGATTTTAAATTTAAGTTTATGATCAAATCTAAAATTTTAGTTTCTATTTTGAAACATGCTAATTCCTGTGTAGCAATGGGACCATATTTTAAAATAGAAAATAATTATATATATATATATATATATATATATATATATATATATATATATATATTTGTTAAACAATACCAAAAAAGTAGTTTCTGTTTTGATTCTGATATAACAATTTAGTCAGAAGTTGGAAAAAACATAATAAATAGTTGAACAGACCGATCATGTCAGTATTGTTTAACAAAACTTGTTAAAAAGAATTCTTGCTGCCTAAATACACCTTATTTAAAGATATATATATATATATATATATAAACTCAGAAGGAAGTGCAGAAAAGTAAGCCAGACTTCTGAAAATCTAACCAAACATCAGATTTTGGCATAAAAACACTTTTATTAGGCCCAAAACTTATATATATATATATATATATATATATATATATATATATTAACAGATAAAATTAAAGGTAAAATGGAATTTATATTATTTTATAGGATATTTGGTCAATTTCTATAGTCATGCATACCTTGAGCCAGACTTCTATTTATACCACAAAACTATCATTGCGTATTTTCACTTACAGGGTGCAATGGATAAATTGTCATCTAAATTATGCAAAAATTAAAATAACACTGGCATCTTATTTTAACAGGTACATTTACCAAAATTACACAAAAATATCTTGAAATACTAAAGAATAAATTTATTCAATTTCAACCATGGTGTTCAGATGACTTTGGAATCTCCTGCAACACTTCTGGACAGCCTCCTTGTTTAAGTTGATGAATGCTGCCATAATTGTTACCCTCAGTTCATCTTTAGTATTACAAGGAGTTTTGTTGGTCTCTCACACAACTGTGCCCCACACATAATAATGAAGGGGATTGCAGTCTGGGGAGTTAGGTGGCCAGATGTAAGAATTGATGTGGTCACAGAAATTGTCTGACAGCTCTGACTGGGTTCTCCTGCTTGTGTGGCATGGGGCAGAGTCCTGTTGTCAGACATAGGGTCTTCCAGCAGCTACCCTCTTGACCCAAGGCAGCACTATCTTCTCAAGGCAGTTGATGTAGGCTTCCATTGTTGAGTCTGAGGCTCTGTTGTAAGATAAATGGAGGTATAACATTGCCATCATGAGTGATCACTCCAAACACCTTCGTAATCACCATTAGACTCATACAACTCTTTCCAAATCCTTTGCACTGTCCTCAGATTAACATGCAAACACTCTGAAATGTTTGTATTGGAGCTTCCGGTGTGATTGCCTAACAGTACAGCATGCTGTTTCCAAATTTCTAGTGAATTGTGTTATGGTCTCCTTTTTCTTATAGATGGTGCCCAACTGACCCTACTATACTGTTCAGTTGACAAAATCAAAAACAACGCATGTGTGAAATTAAAATATAAATGGTTCAATTGCTGATATCATTGTGCCGTCTGAAATAAGTTACTATACACTTGCTTTTGATGGTTATTGAGGGAATGCTGGACAGCTCCATGTTCATCCAGAACATTGTTCATGCTGTTCTGCTGCCATTCCTGCAACAAGATGATTTTCTTTTACTGCCTGCTCACATGATGAGCATATAGACACTTGACTTTTTCATTTAGCCCATCTACAACTCTTGGCTGTATTGTATCATCAAATGCAAGAGACATGAAATAATCTATCACAGAATGATATTTGCCATCTGTATGATCATAGGCATCTGAGAATACAGGCTTGTCTTAATGCCCAAGGCAGATATACAGTGTATTACTATGGGGTCTGATATTTTGGTAAACCCCTTATTTTAGAATGTATGAATATATTGATCTATGTGATCATTTACTGTAATACAGCTATATTACCTATACATTTAATCTTGAATAAATCAAAGAAATCTACAATGTGTTTTATTTTGCATCAGTATATATTTATAAATGTATATATCTATCTATTTACATATATAATTGTGTATTTTAACAGTAGTCCCTCTTTAAAACAGGTTTCATTAAAAATAACTGACAAGGTACTTCTGTTAAGTTTTTTCTTGTGTTTTTCTTGTATGTGAACAAAGGCTTTCTTTTTTGGCCATGTTTGTAGTTGATGTTAATGAATGTTTTTTTTATGATAAAGGCTTCAGTTATTTTGAGACACTTCTTGCAGTTAGAGTAACTTATTTCTATACAAACTAAATCCCAAAAAAATCTTATTTGTACACAAGAAAGACAATAAAACTTAACAGAAGTACTTTGTCAGTCATTTTTAATGAAACATGTATGCATAGATAGATAGATAGATAGATAGATCTTGGAAAAGGCTGGAGTTCTGCAGTGAACTGAGAAATGGGCTGACATAAATAAATCAAAATGTATTTTATGTCAAAGATATTTTGGTTAAATATTTTCCATATGCCCCAACTTGCATGAGTTTTAAGTTTGTATTTTAAGAAGAAAATAATAATAATAAATAATAATAATAATATCTTATCAAAGCAAAATAATTGTTATATAAATTTGTTGCGTCATTTTCTTTTTTTTATCAGAATCACCCCAAGCAAGGTACTAATGCCACTAAAACATAAGGGGTTACAGAGTGTGGAAGACTTAGGAACAGAAACATTAATGATGAGCAGAAAGAGATGAGAGTTATCAGGTGGACAGTCAATAGCAATTAACATTGCATTTAAATTTTTGCAGATTAACGTTGGCTGGAAAACATGGAGCTGGAAGGGAGTTCCACAAGCAAGAAGTGCAAAAGAAACTGTTAGCATAGAATTTACAGCTACATCTAGATGGCTCAACTGTAAATTGATGATATCTCAACACCAGTTTAGTGCTGCACTTAAATTTAAAACATCTCTAGGTACCATAGCAAAGAGCTCATCTGAACAATTACCATGAAAGTATTTATAGAAAAGACATAGAGAGGCAATCTTATGGTGGTTTGTAAGTAACTGGAGTTGAGGTGCCAGATCAGGACCAATAATATTGCACATTCTTCTTTGGATCTTATCAAGGAGCTCAAGGTAAAGAGCAGCAGCACAGGACCATATGTGGCAGCAATATTCTAAGCATGGATGAATGGTAGACTTATAGATATGTAAGATAAATTCTGGAGAGAAAAAGTGTTTTGCCCAAAATAATGAACCAACTTTCTTAGCAAGCTAACCTACCAATGGATTCAATATAGTCTTTCTACTTTATATCATCAGAGAACATTAGCCCAAGAAAGCACAACAAGTCACTTTTTTGGAGAATAGCATCAGATGCTTAATGGAGAGAAGTTTAGTTTTGGAGGCGTTAAAATTAACAAGCCATCTTTTGCCCCAGTTAACAACGGACTTGAGGTCGTTTTGGACATCAGCTGCTATTTTAACCTTCAGACTGATAAGCCTTACTATAGAGGCAGGAGTAAATTGTTGTGTGGTCAGTGTAGATACCAAGTTGAGAGCTGATGTCATCAGGAGGGTCATTAATGAAAATTAAAAATAGAGTAGGACCAAAGATGGATCCCTGGGGGACACCTGCATTAACACAAAAGGATGTAGATGAGTGGCCGTTCAGGATAACACTGATTTCATGTTTTGATAGGAAAGACTGGCACAGTTCAAAAAAGTGTCCAGAGAAACCATAACTTTTAAGCTTGTGAAGAAGACCTGAATGCCAGGCCCTGTCAAAGGCTTTCAAGATGTCCAATGCAACAGCCTGGGATTCACCGTTTTTATCTAGAGCATGATAAACTCTTTCTACAAATATTGTCAGTACATCAGCAGTTGACCTGGAGAAACGAAAGCTGTATTGCTTGTCTGAGAAAAGACCCTGTGATGAGAGATGATGAACAAATTCAGCATTGATTAGGGTCTCTAGGAGTTTCTATAAAAAGAAGTAGAAGGCTAATATACTGATAGTTGGAAGGGTCAGCTGGCTCACCTGGCTCACCAGAGTTCTTAAAAACTGAAACAACAGATGATGACTTCCAACAGTCAGGAAAGCAGGAGGCAATGAGACATTTATTATGCAGTTTAGAGAGAACAGGATCCAATTTGGGAGTGCATCTCTTAATGACTTTTACAGGGATACCATTGGGTTCACATGCTTTGTGGAGATCTAGGTTAGAGATGATAGCAGAAACCATGGAAGGGATTATATACATATCACTCAACAAAGACTCAGTTCTAGGAGAGAAGTTAGACAGGGATATTCCAGATGAGTTAAGAGTAGAGTTTAAGGAGAATTTATGGACAAAGCATTCAGCTTTATCAGCAGAGGATGTTAACACCTCATATTGATTGAAGAGGGAAGGAATAGAGACCTTACACTTATTTAATGGATTATTACAGAGCCACCAGTAATTTCAAGCACAAAAGTTGTTAGAGGCTATGTGGCGCCTCATTCTCTTGGCAAATAGAGACTTTGCTCCTTCGAGAACTCACTTTCATTTATTGCGAGCAGCAATAAATAGGCATCTGTTGTGATGAGAGCCATCATGCTGGTATAGCCAAAAATAATTGTTCCTGTGTGCTATAACAGCCAAGCATGCTGGTGTGAACCATGGAGAGGATTGAGGTTTCACCTGGTATTTCTGAGAAGGGATGAAAGTGTCCATGCTGGCTTTGACCCAAGAAGAAACCTCGGTGGTGCAATTTTCAAAAGAGAGTTTAAAGATGTCAGTCCAAGGGGCGTCACAGAGAAAATCATGGAGTAAGTCCCAATCAACATCCTGATAATGGAAAGAGGTCTTGTAGATAGGGGGTTCCTGTTTAATAGAGAATGGGAACAAAATATCAATAGCTGCCACAGAGAGGTCAGAATTACTAAGACGGCAGTTTTGCAAAACTCAGAAAGAGAGGAGGTAAGAAATAAATAAAATACAGAAGCATGTTGCTTGGTTTTGCTAGGGAAATGAGTAAGGAAGTTCAAATTTGAATAAGGGACTGAGCAATGAAAAAATTTAATGTTTAAACATTGGCAACCAGTCTCTTTAGAATGTTTAAGCCACATGTTGTGGTGAGCATTAAAATCACCAAAGACAAAGATGTTCGTAGATGGGTGGAGGAAAAGTGCCTTTTCTATACTGTCAGCAATTATGTCTAATATACTGCAACCATGGGAGGAGGGGGAGCAATAAAAAAAAAAGATAGCTAACAGAGTTTAGTAACAAAAGACAGAAGCACATGAAACAATTGTTTGGAGCCTTGAGAGACAATTCCCTTGATAGTAGCTTTTAATCTTCATGGTTAGGAATGGAAAACCCCCAACACAACTTGTTGTTTCAGAGTTGAGAGAATTCAGATGTAGGTTTCCTTATTTCAAATCATTCAATCATCTCATCCAATGTGAGTTGCAGCAGAAAACAGTTGATGGAATAGCCTGGATGTGGTGTCTATTGATTATCATATCTGCCTCCAAATGCATATAAAGTCAGTGGCAGTGAAGAAGAGGGCAGCAAGCAAGCTGACTGCTGGCAGAGTGGATTTGCATCTATTTAGACATGCGGCTCTATAAATTTGTGACAGTTTACTTTTGTTTTCTACATAATCTAATTAAGTTTTCAAGGAATTTTTCAATGTCTTCAACTTGTTAGAACTGCTAACTAAACAAAGATTTTTGCATGGAGCAAAATAGATTATGGTCTGGAGAATATGTAACATGTAGAAGAATTACCCAATCCAGTTTTCTGATTGTTTTCTGTGTATTAATAAAGCAAAATCACTGGTCGATTTCCTTACCTGGAAAGAAGTCTTTTCTCACATTGGCATTATTCAAACAACCCAATTGCTCACTATGTCAGATTTTATTATTCAAGTCAATGTTTCTACAATAAAATTGGTTGTAACCAAAAGATATTGGTAAACTGTTCATATGTGCATATATTTATATGATAAATATACCATATCAATTTCAGCTTGTACTTTTACTAGAAATATCTCTATTATTATTTTTTTAAAATATCTATAATAATTTATTTGGTGAGATTTTGTTAGGCAAGTTTAAATATTGTAAATAAATAAATATATAATAGTATACTTTTATTGTCTCAATGCATTTCCTATATTTATACCAATCTATAAAACTCCAATATTGAGCACTATAAATATAGAAAATTTATACATATATATATATATATATAGCATAATGAGAAGCCACGTATACTTTCTTAATATGTATATATAGAAAAAGTTTCAAATTAAAAATTATAATGTTTTATTTTATGAAAGTATTTATTTATTTATATATATATTTGATATTTCAAATTGTCCTCAATTTTCATCAGAAATAACTGTTTGTTACAAATAAATTAAAATTACTGTTTGTTGGCAAGTAGCGTCCTTCGAGAGACGCGGACGTCACGTGATATGGAACGTCACTGTTCAGATATTCCTAACTTAAATCTAACTGTCATAAATATTTTAAAAATATTTTTTTACTATATCTAAAGAAATTGCTTAGCTATTGAAATATTTATAAAGATTTAAAACACCTAAGTCCCTATTCAACCCTAATTTATGTGTATTTAATTTTAAAAATCCAATATGTTTTTTTTTTCTGCGTGTGAATGTGGAAGTAAAATCGAATCTATTAATAAACATTTGCAGTTTTTTCTAATGTGTGTCCTGATTGATTGTAGTGTTTAGCTATGGGGAATAAGGGTTGTTTTGACGTATTGTTTGTTTATGGTTATTAAAACGAAATCTAAAATTGTTTCCAGACTCACCAATATATCCACTATTAGGACATAAGTTGCAGAATAAATAATAGATTACGTTATGGGTATCGCAGGTGAGGTTAGGTGGCTGTATCCTGATATTGGTGTTGGGTACGTAAAATGTATTAGCTATTACTAAATGTTTGCAAACTAAGCAACGAGGTTTGTTACATTTGTAATAACCTGTTTGGTTTCTATTGTTTAGATATTTGGTAGAGGTGAGGATAGCTGATAAGTTAGGTGATTGTTTCATTGCATTTATGGGTGGTTTATCGAAAATGTCTTTTTGATCTTGTTGTCTAATTGGAGGTTCTTGTAATCATTTTTTAAATTGTGAATAAGTGTGTGAATATTGATTGTGGTTAAAAACCATGGGAATCCGATTGTTGTTTTTATTTTTCTTGTATGTGAGAAGTGTGTTACGATTTATCAGGATAGTTTTATTTAGTGCTTCTTTTATTATTTTTATTGGGTATTTGCATTTTAGGAATTGTTTTGTTAAGTTATTAATATTGTATAGAAAATCTAAATGGTCTGAGCATATGCGTTTGGTTCTAAGAAATGAGCTGTATACAATAGATTTTTTTAATTTAAATATATATATATTTAACTGATTTAAAAATATGGTTTCATCGCTTCAAAGAAATTACCATATTTCAAAAACAGAAAACAAAAACTTCAAATTCAATTATATTAAATTAAAAACATTAGTTCTGTTTCATCTTCAAGTGAATTTTGGAATAACTTATTTTAAAATTTACTGAGTTTTAAAAGCACATACATTCATTACATATTTTACTATTCTTTCTTTTTTTTACTATAAAATATATATATATATATATATATATATTGCAAGAAAGGCAACATTTGTATCCATTTGGCTAAATGGCATTGTTACAATACTTTATGTTGGTTCTGTTTTTATTATTTTGCAGAATGGTTTACCTTCTTCATGCTTCTGCTAGATTCATCATTCCTCTTATCACAAGCATGAAGAGACCAAACAGTTCACTGCCATCAGATATTTCTTCAAATGTTGCAGGAAGCAATTCTGTCGGACTTGTGGTGAAGCAAGGCTGGCGTTTACAAAAGATTCTGCAGGCTTGCGTTACACAAATGGTTGGCGAGGTGATTCTCTGAGCATTCTCTTTTATCTGGATATTTGCATTAGAATCTTGACAATGTCTTGAACCAAACATGACGTCTACACTCAAATCCATATGTAAACATAAAAGATATATAAACACAACAATTATCTGTGTACATTAAAAAAGTACATAATTTATTAATACAGCCACTCCTTGCTCAATGACTGGGGTCTGTTTCAATGATTTGATCATTAACTGAGCTGGTTGCTAAGTTAGAAGTTGTACTTGACAACTATTTCAAGCATATTACATGTGTCAACCAGCTTCAGATGGCTTTAATGTCCCTTTAGCACCATTTGTAACATTTCTAATTTATTTCTAAATGTTTATACAGGATATTAGTGTACTGAACAGTAAACATAATAAACAAATTCGAAAAACAGTTCTATATTCAGTACATTATTTTGGTTTATATACTGTAAGTGAGACACAGTAGAAAATTTATTAACAATGCATTTCAGCAAGGGTGTCTACTATCTTTGGCTTCCTCAGGTTAGAATGACAGAAAGAAAAAATTGTATGCAAGGAAAAATTCCTTGGGATCTCTGATATCTAATTTAATTTGATTTATGGTCACTACTTATCCTCAGGGATCTCAAGGCATTTTTCTTCACATACAATTTTGTCTTTCTTTCATTCTAACCTGAAGAAACCAAAGGGAACAGACACACTTGACAAAATGTATCATTAATAAATTTTCAACTTTGTCTCATCATCTTCACTTTTGTTTCAGATACTATTATACATCCTAAAAACCTACATACTGTAAATACAGAATATATATAAATTTTAAGTTATTTTTCATTTTATTTATTTTGATTTATTTTGAAGAAAAAGAAAACAATTGTCTCCAATGTTTTCATGCAACATACATACCAACTGGTTGAATTTTGAATTTTATTTTACTTTTTGAAATTTTATAACTTATTGTTAATCACACAGAGTTTGTTAAACAGGTAAGTCATTAAGTGATGAATGGCTGTATTGTCATTAACATTAAATGATATGAAATTAGCAGTTGGAATTATATTTGTATCAATTATATTATAATTTAAAGTTGATAGCAATAACCTATTAGTATCAAAGATTTTACATGTATTGTCTACTAATATAGAGAGATTTAGTTCTGGTCTGCAAGCAAAACCTGTTTATTCTATATTTGTGATAAAAAAATATGACCACATTTGTTACCATATTTTCTCAAATATATTTATACATACTGTGACAGAAAACCAACAATATTTGACAATATCATAAGGTGTTGCTGGGGTATCATTGATTAATGGAAGTGACATTTTCACTCTAAAACTATGCCTGACCCCAGAGTAATCATCTAATCAATGATTTGTTGGTGGCATAACTCTTGTTTTTCCATCAACATATATATCTGTATTGTAATAATATTTTATTAATATTTTTTATTATATATATATATATATATATATATATATATATATATATATATATATACTAGCTTAAATGCCACTATATTTGGTGGCATTTAAGTTAACTCCTGCAGAGAGCTCTTGATTGGACCTTCTGCTTGTTCAGGAGTTTGAGAGTCCCTAAGTCTTTGTATTTTCTCAGCATTGGAAGCTCTCATGGCTGCCATTTGATCTGGGTTTTCATTTGCATGGAAATTTCTTTTCCTCAGCCTTGGCTCCTTCAATTACAATCTGGTTCTCTGTTGGCAGAGATTTCTTTTTGCATGGAATACCGCTGATGTATCCGATAGGCAACAATAGACTACAGAAGAACTCAAAATTGATCGCTGCAATTAAGTATTGCATTAATATTTAAAAACAAAATTGTACAAACAATTATTTATATTTCATAGTGACTTTTGCTGGATTTCGTAATTAATTTAAATTATTTCCAAGTTATAAAAATTGTTATCGTACAAAAGATTTGTTGCAAAAAATCACATAAAAATATCGCTGAAAACAATCACTAATGAAAACTGGGAATCCAAAATTTCTGCATCATGAATTATTGAAAGTTAAAGAGTTGTGTCCCTTTAATTGAAAAGTGTGACTGTAATATTTGTATTTATTTGTTGTCAGTGGCAGCATTTGTCTGTCTCGAGAGACGATGAAATAGCGCAGTGCACTACAAGCATAGGTGGGATATATGGAGAACTAGGGCTGCCCAGACGTCTAGTTCCCCCTCTCAACCTTGCTAGCAGAGTCCAAAGTCCAATACAGTTTGGTACCAGCACGGCTGCAGGAGTTGCCGGAAGGTAGCACAAAGTGCCATCCATCCGCCTTAGGGGCTTCACTCGGGGTTTGAATTCAGAGTTGTCCTTCTCCTAGACCAGTTGCCATCCAAGGCTATAGAACCCAGTCTGTCCTGCTATTTACCCATAGTTGGAGAGAGAAGAGGAGGATTCACACCTTTCACAAGGGTATTAGCACGTAAATGAATGTAATGGATTCGACTGGAATTCGAACTCGGCTCTCTGATTCCTCAATCGAAGCCACTATCCATTACTCCACCATTTCTTCTCTTATATATATATATATATATATATATATATATATATATATGAGATCAATCTATTCGGAAATGTAACTTTATATATTTATTTGCCATGTAACCTGATTGCTACTTCTTAATAATGAAATATTCTGATGCAATGGCTAATAAACAAATGTCTCGTTAATAAATTGGTGAGATCAGATTGCTAATAAATTACTTGCACAGATTATTTTCCTCATCTTTATTGTTGATATCACATTTCAGTTGTTGTTCTTTCTGGTAACCTTCAGGGAATTTGGAACTGAACCCTTCATTTAGTCTGTGTTGTTGAGGAATATCTCATCTAGCTCTTAGTACTGCTCAATTATTGCTCACCCTGATTTTACTGAGTCTAAATATACACTACCCAGTCCAAGGATTGAACTTTCAATAATTGTGCTACAAAATTTGCAAACCAACACTTTAATCCCCTAGGGAGTGGAGAACTTGGAACCTTAAACCTAACCTGCCTGTTAATGAATGCTGCTACTTATGCTTCTGCACTCTCCAAGGCTTTGCTCTTTATTGTTGCTGCTGTTGAGATCTTGCTGTCAGTTCTCTTTTTTACTTATTAAGGGCTCCCATATTGTATTTATTTCTATGCTAGGCCTACAAAGAGGTCCCCATAGCCTAGCATATATGCTGATTTTTACAGATGTCTGATTTTCAACTGTTCCTCTCTGTTCAGAATTAAAGAACTAGATGAGATATACCTAGACACGAACAACAGAACAGAAACACTCTACTCCATAGATTAAATAATGGATTCAGTTTGAAATTCCTGGATTGGAAACCCCCTGATGTAGGCCAGAGGAACAGCTGAAGCATGGCGATAACTATAACAAATAAAAGTACAATAATCTACATATAAATAATGTAAATAATGATTACTCCTCATCCCAGAACTTCAGATTGAAAGTTAATTGTATTAATAAAATTCTAGATTACTCATGTAGAAAATATAACCAATATAATTGCAAAATTAATTAAATACTTTAATCATTTTCTTGATGATACAGGTAAACTAGTTAATATACATTTAGTATATTAATATATTTAATAATATACAATAAGAAGAATACAAGAAAAGTTCAAGTAACTGATGTAATGAATATGCATACACCTGGGTTCCCCCTCACAGTCATATGATTGGCTGGTGTCAGCCATAAATACAGACTGATGTGGAGGTACAGGGACGATGCCTATTGACTTCGCCTATTGCCTATTGCCTACCACTACAACAAGGACCAGTCAATTATGGTTACCTGCTAGATTGTCCTACTCGGTTACAGTAGTCCAAAACCACTTTGCTACTTCGAACAAATATATCCCTTTCTGGGACATATCAGTAACTAATTAGCCAACTTAAGAGTTTTGCTTTGAAATGCTTATCAGGGACAAATGTTTGATAAATATATTGAACTTATGATCAGAATTTTTCTTGATTTATTACATATTATAGCTCTAGTTATCTACTGAGCACTTTTTGGCAGTACATTAAATTCTCGTAATTTTCACATATTTTTTCAGTTTTACTATTATCATTATTATTTAATAATGTACTATTATCATTATTATTTTGCTCAAAACCAATATATTAATATTAATACATGTAAATATATTCATATATATAAGAATTTCAAAATCTCAGTCCTATGTTGTAAATATTCAACTAAACTGATATTTACTTTTCTTCAAAATATATTATCTATTCTTTTTATCTGATATAAGCTCACTTTACACTAAAGTTACTACTTTCATTCACTGTATATTATGATATTTTGCTTTTCATGTGAATTATTTTGTTAAAATCTGACTGTAAAGTTTTCTGCTGCTTTACAAACCCTTCTAACAATTTGAGTTTGGGGCCAAAATGAAAGAAAATGTAAACATTGATAACAACTTTATCATGATGTTGTTTATCCACATTATGGAATACCATGAGAGGTGGAAAAAACATGTAATTTTTGAAGCTCAGGCCCCCTAACCTGTGAAAATAATGTGAATTAATTTGCCTCCTCTGTGAACTAGCTTTACCATTCTACTTACAACCCCACCTGACTTAAAGGCTGCCCCCAACCACTCAAAACACTCTAACAACAGGCCAGCTGAAGTTAGATTTTTCTATTGAACTGTATGAATATCTAAATATCAACAGTATAAATATCTACAGAATATTCTATGAATCATTAAATGATATTCTTTTTTTTCAGTTGAAGAATAAAAAGCAGTTGATTTTTGAACTAAAAGAGAAAGAACACAATTCTCAAAAGACATGTCTTACTTCTTTGAGTTCATCCCCAAAAGAGAAAACCCAGTTTCATCAACAAAGTTCTGTCTCTCTGTCACCAGATGGCAGCATCAAAACTTCCATTTCAAGGGATGAATGTTTTAAGTCATCTCAAACTGTTGAAACCTCATTTTTACCTTGTGAAGCATGTTCTGTGGTCCAAGAAAGTTTACATCAGACTGGAAAAGTCGTGTTGCAGTTGTTCAAAGACCTGAACCTGCCAAGTCGTCTTTCCCGTCACATGTCAAACTTTGATAGTACAAAATGGATGACAACAAATGAAGTAATGCAATGGACAGCTGAACAGAATAAGGATTTGTCTGTTATTTGTAAACATTTTGAGAGCACTATCCAGACATTGAAAGCTTCAGTTGAATCTCTGGAAAAAAGATGTTGGTAAGTAACACAGTTACATTTTCAAAATTTAGTTCAATTCTAATACAAGGCAACCAAAAAATCCTTGCCATTTTTGATTTATTAGAAAAAAAAGTTATACAGCAAATTTGACATACCATTAGTCGTCAAAGTCATCCCTATCAGCATCCAGAACTTTTGACAATGTGCCTCCAGCTGCAAAATGCTCTGGCAGTAAAAATCAGGTGTCTTGGATGCAAAGAAGTCTGTAAGTGTCTGCCACAAATCTGCCACATTTGTGATGGATTTCCCATGAAGGTAGTTGCCCAGGGAATGGAAAATGTGGTAATCTGTTAGCACAAGGTCTGGAAAGTGAAGTGGATTGTACCGTATCACTCAGCCAAGTAGCCATATGGTATCCCTAGTCACGTGAGGCTTAATATTGTCATGAGGGAACAGTACTCCCTTACAATTAACCAATGCTGGCTCCTTCTGCTTCAGTACCTGTTGCACTGCTGTGAGTACAGGTCTGCAGTGATAGTTTGGCCCATGGGCAGTAGCATATAGTGCACCACTTGTTGACTAGTCCACCAGATACAGAGCTGATCTTGTATGGCTGTACAAATGTTCTTGTTGTGTGAGGCACTAGGTCCTGTGGTGACAACCAATGTCTGGCATGCTTGGGAGTATCATACAGAACCCACTTTTTGTCACTGGTGAGTACTTGACCAAATACAGGTACGTTGCAGTGCTGAGAAAGCAACGATAAACAGACTGTTATTTGTTATTGTTTGGTGGCTTCTGACAGCGAGTGGGGTACCCACTTGCTCAACTTGTATGCCTTCCTTATGTTGTGCAGGTGAAGTCTGTTTTGTCAGAATCCTGCAAGCATTCAGCAAGTTCACCACATTTTTGGCTGTTGTCCTCCTCTATGGTTGCTTTCAGGGCCTCATCATCCAGGATCTGTGGCTAGCTACTGCAGGGTTCATCACAAAGGGACAGATCTCCCAACCTGAACTTTGGGAACCAATGCCTGGCGGTGTGTTCACTCACAGAATTATCTCCAAAAGCTTCATGTATTGGGTGACTTGATGCAGCTGCAGACATGCTCACTTTAAAGTCATAAAGAATAAAACCCCAGCGGAAAGGAAACATGGCTTCAACAATGCCATGTTTCCTTGCCACTGCTGAAGCCATGACTGGTGTGTGCACAATGCACCTGTATTGGTAAAAAAAATGCCCCCTCCCCCACCACTTTCCTGGTACATGATCTACTCATTTGCATATCAGTGATTACTTATTCCCACATAATGTAAAAAAACGGCAAGGACTTTTTTGTTTATCTTATGTATTAAGTTAAGTCATAAACATTTTCCTTTTTTGTTTGTTAACATTATTCTTAAAAAATACAATTCCATTTTATTCACTTATATATTCACCATTATTTACAATGCCTTGTTACCATTCATCACGCAGCTCTTCAATATCTTTTGAGTAAAATTCTGCAGGTTTTGATAGAAAAGTTTTTGATAAGCATTTTGCAGTGAACAGAAAAGGTGCAATTTTAGTTGAATATAGTGGAAGGAGAAGAACAGATCAACCAAATTCCAAACTTTTCCTGTTTTATTCTTGTGGACTTGTGTTATCATGGAAAAGAAAAATATTATTCCTATTGACAAATGCAGGATGTTTTTCAGCCAAACATTTATAGATATATTGCAGCTGCTGGACATATAAATGTGCAGTTAGTATTTCATTGAATTTTTGGATTTCTAAATGAATACTGCCCCAACAATGCCACCACACACACAACATTATCTTTCTTCCAAGGAAGTCAGATTTTGTGTTGATTGTGGAGATTTATCCTTGTCAATCCGGTGCCTTTTCTCTTGCATATATTGTCATATATTAGTGTGCTCACAAACTTATTTTTTAATTGCCACATATGATTAGTAGTGAGGATTATATATTTCTTATTTCAATTGGTTCCCAAAAGTGGATTTACTTGCACTCTATCTAATATTTATCATATTCTGATACTTTGTTTTGTTTTTCAAAGTGAATAAAGATGACATGTTGGAATAGCATTTGCTGTCATCCATTTTCAGAGCTCAGGATATATATATATATATATATATATATATATATATATATGTGTGTGTGTGAAACATTTGAAGAAATCAAACTTCTCTACCTTGTTGAGTTATAAGACATCATTGAACAAAGCTGTTCAGGTTCAAAAAATTTATCAATAATATTTAATAATTATCAAAAGGAAAATATGCATTCAGACTTTATTTTAAAAGTAAACAGTTCCACTGATCTACATCATAGAAACTGTTTCTGATCAGTGTTAAATCTGAGTCAGTGTTTTTGTTTTTTCTTCTTCACTTTCTACACCCCCAACTTCCACTTGTCACAGTGGGAAGATATCAGCTTTATATTGCTTTCTAATCATAGATGCTTCTTGATAATCACTTTGAATTTGGAAAGTAAATAGTTTAATGTTATATTTCAGTGAGCAAAGATTCTTTTTATTCTAAAATGAAATTTCATAAATATTGTAAATTCAAATATTTGAGATTTGAACAAATTTTCTAACATTTTTGTTCTTAATAATCTATTAGATGTTGATTTGCTAATATAAGCAATAAAAAAGTACAAAGATTATTATAGATGACACTGATGATGATGATGATAAAATGGGAAGCTGAAAAGTTCTTGTCTTGGTCCACTCCCCTTAAACTATCCAAATGACTAAACATCAGAAGCTTTTTTGTTTTGTTTCAGAAGGGTGTCTTAGTTGTTTTGAAAATTTTTCAATACCCACTTAATTGGTATATGTTAATCATGTTGGAAAGTGTTGGGAAAATGCACATGGTTGCTAATAGGAGATTATATTTTTTTTTAAATATTTAGTATAATTTCTGTTTTATTATTCACTATAATAATGAGTGCTGTACAAAATGGATCGATAAGTTCATAGTCTGACAAAGTTATTTCCTGAATTTTGATTTGAAATTATCACCATAGTAAAGTATATCGACACAGAAGGAGATTATGTTGAAATATTTACATAAAACATTAGGTGTGTGCAAAAATTACCAGTGAAAAATCACTTTTCGGTCTTTAGTTTTCAAAAACAGAGTGCTAGGAACTTTTGAACATAAATAATAAAGATTTTTTTTCATTATTAGACTATGAACCTACTGATATACCTACAGAAGTTTGGTATTGTTTAAATTTAAAGTAAATTGAATTTTGAAAAAGTTTGAATGGAGTGACAAAAATTGTACATAACCAAATAAAAACAGCTCAACTACATACAAGGCATCAGAAAAATGTTTTTTATGTATTATTTTTTTAAATTTTAGTGCATTAGAAAATCAAAAGAAGGTGCTTGAGAAAAAGAATTCTTTGGAAAGAGAAACCCAAGAAATCTTTCAAAAACAGTCAAGCAGTAAACTTCAAGATATGATCAAGAGCCACCAAATTGCAATGAATGAAATCACCAAAGAAAAAGGAAATTTAGAATCCCAAATGAAAAATGTTAATGAAAAATTTGAACAAAGCCAAGATGAGTTACAGAAGGCAAAAGATACAAATAAAAGAAATAGTAAGTAATAATGAGAAGAAACTTTCTTTCAAAATTACTACTAATTTTAGAAAATGTTTTAAACTAATTAAAAATGTCAAGAAATTGAATAATAAATATTTTTGTTTTTTTTTTCTTAACCCAATATATTAACTGGATGCATCTTTAAAAGTTTTTTCTTAGATTAAATAATTTAAATATTAGTAACGATTGCTTTGAAACTTTGAGCAATAATTATGACAGATTTATTTATTGTGATATTTTGAATGATAAAAATATTTATTTGTTTGCATTGTTTTTTAAAACTTTATCAAATATTGATTATTCAATAAATTAAAAGTTCAAATAACTTATCTGGTTAGCTGACTCAAGAGTTTTGCATCAGAACACTCATCAGGACCAGATGTTTGATAAATCTGTTGAACTTATCAGATCTCATATTTATATTTAATTATAGAAGTGGAAATACAACAATTAACAGAAAAGTTAAAAACACAGACCAGTATTGCCTCAGAAGTGGAACAACTCAAAAAACAAATTCAAACACTGAAAATACAATTGGAAGATTATGAGAAGAGGTTTTTGGAATGTAGCAAGGAATTAAACCAAGAACAGGCCAAAAACAAAAGTATGACCAAACATTTTGAGGTAAGTAATTAGCAACTAAAAGATGAAAAATCATCAAACGAGGAACTTGATGCTCATATTATAGTTAGTAAATATTTGTTTATCATCCTTTTTAAATTTTGAGGTGAGTCATTAACATTCCAAATTTTGTTTAGACAATTGAACTCATTTGTGTGTCTGATTTTATTACCACAGCATTTCATTTGATCTATTCTTTAAATATTTTCAGGTACAGAATCTGTAAAAAAAGGAAAGCAAAATTCAATCTCTTCACTAAAATAAAATGAAAAATGATCAATAATATACCCAAATATATATAAATATAAAACCAAACCCATCCCATTATATTTATTGGCATACACATTTTACATGCTAAGTGAACCATCTGCTATGAGAGAGATAGTATACAGATAGATCAATAAGTCTATAGCCTGACATGTTATTAACTGAATTTTAATCTAAAATGTTCCTTGTATAATGTTGCATCTATGTGATTGTTATCCACTACTGAATTAAGGGTATTAACAAAGAAGGAGATTACTGAATTTTATGTAAGGAATTCTGGGATTATATATGTTGTGGCTGTTTAGGGGCCAGAAAGAAAGAAAGAGAAGATAAAGGTAGGTTGAATAAGTATATTGAAATAACAGCTATATAGAAAGTAAGAGTGTTAGTAATAAAGAGATAGAAGTGTCTGTTTGAACATTCAGGTCACACTGCATCTCGACTGCTCACACACATTAGTATTTATGAAAAGAGGAAGAGTTCATTCTACTGTAGGTGGGTTACTACAAAAATATAGAGAGTGGGTGGATTAGATTGATGACTTTTCTCTGATTGGCAAAATGTATTCTAGAGCGATTGCAATGTAATACTGACTTGCAAACTATTACACAAATGTACAAGTTTCATTTTGCACAAGATTCTAAAAGAAAAATTTTAACAGCTTTCGAGTAAAATATTTTATGTATGTGCAAAACCTCATAGTATAAACTCGAGATTTTGATTTCATAGTTGAAAAATAGTTTTGCAAACACTTAACCCCCTACCTATGTTATAAGTTGTTTGCTTTATTTTTATGTAATATTGTTTACTTCTAGGCAATTCATCAGAAACAATGTTCCACATTGGACCATGTAGAGAAACTAAATGATGAAAACACAGATTTGCAGAATCAGCTGGCTGAATTGCAGGACTCATTTGATGAAAAACAAGAAAAAATTGAAAATCTGGAGAAACAAAAGCAACAACTACAACACCAGATCACTGTTAATGAGGTAATATGTCATACTTTTTATAGCCTATCTATATAATGAGCAGTTTGATTTTTTTGTTTCTTTTTCTATTTGTAACAAGAGACTAGCCCATCTGGTAATGATTAATAAACTACTAAGTAATGAGAAAATCCATTGTTATAGTAATACAAGGCTTATTTGACACCACTTAAAAGAAGTACCATGTTCCCATGACATAATTTTAAAAATTATAAAAATAAAAAAATTCTGAAAATATTAAAATTCCCTTTTGTTCTTATAGGGAATTCTTGGTGCTACTCAAAATGAGTCAGCATTATATTATGAAAACAAAGGAATTTTAAGAATTTCTTAAATTATATACATAAGGTATACTTAGACATGTTAAATAACTTTTGTTAAATTCAACTGACAATGTCTGTCTGTTTAATTTTTTATTGTATTTTTCAAATAAGATGTACATCTCAATCAAAAGTGTAAATAAGTTATCCAAAATGCATGCTTGGTTCTGTTTTTGTTGAAGTACTTTTGACTGTCTCAGTCATTATCAAGAACTGTGTGTTGTCAGTGTTGTAGAGAAGATTTTGTTAGCTACATCCTGGTATTTTTTAATGTTAAAATTCAAATTCAAATATATACATATATAAGTGACATCATGTATAAAATGGTTTGTCAGAGGTGTATTGCACCATAAAATAATGTATCATGTATTCATATCTATTATTATTATTAATATTTTATATACATATTAAATATTTTGTATACATTTACTATCTCTTGTTGTTAAATCCCTGTGTAAGAACAATCTTATTTATGAATTCTCATGTTGTTTGGGAGATTGTATTGCAAATATTCATAATCAAAAAACAATATTAAATTCTTACATTAGCCCCACACATTTAGGAAATGTTTGTGTGGCATATCAAATGAAAAATTATGCTGTTGATAAACTTAGTGGATACATCTTTTTAAAGTTCAATAAGCAAAATGTTTAAACCTAAAATGTTATGTTGTGCATGATGTATTATTGTGAGTTGCATAGAGTCAAGTTGATTTCTAAATGCTAAAATAACCCAGTATTTAAGGCTTTTGAGAAACTCCAGAAATAATTATTTTTGGAGTCTGGTTTAATTATTTTTATTGATGAAAAATACTGTTTTGTTTATGATTGGTCAGATTTTATTTTTATAATTGGGTTATCTTCACATATCTTTTGCCAGTTTTAACAAGACATAGTTAGAGGGTGCAGTTAAGTGCCTATAAAAATGGTACACTTTTTGTTTTTGTTGTCTTGTCTCTCTTTTCCTACAAGCATGTAACAGAAGTGACAACAACAACCAGGACCTTCCTGGGTTTGGGGATATCCGTCCCCTTAGAAACTAGTAACTGAACTCTTTCACACATACACATGTATGTATATTAACCACATAATTCCTAACTTGTAATGTTTCCTTTCTTTTGCATGCATACTCATGTATTTTCTCTCTTTTTACTCAGTTATATAAAAATTGCTATTATGTATTGTTGTCAATATTTTTAGTTGAATTAGATGTAGTGCCTTCAACAGTGTTCATATTGTTTCTTTCCCATTTTGATCTTTACTATTTTACAAAAATGATTTTCATTCATATGTGGTTATGAAGTGATAGTATTTGAGCACTATATAATTCCAATTGTTTTCAGATTATTCAGAAAGTTGATGAATGAAAAAACTTTTGATGAGGAACATAAATGCAATTTGGAAAACTTAAGATCATTCTTATAAATTCTGAGCAGAATTTTGTATTTTCATGTTTACTTAAATGAGAATTTCTCTCCTTTTAGAAGAAAATGGAAATGAATTCCTTTGAAAAAGAAGAACTGGAGAAAATCATGCAAGAAATGAAAACTCAAAATGATTATCTGCAGGAAGAGATTAAAAAACTGGAAGAAAAAGAAAATTTACTTATTCAGTATCCTGATCTCAATGGACCTGTTTTAGATGAAAGTCTATGTAAGTAATAACTTTCTTTTAATGACATTTTTTTATGTGAGAATAAAAAGCCATTTTGGTAATGTTGTTAGTTATGGGCTTGAAAATATTTAATGAGATTAAAAGTATACATAATTAAGCTCAATATATGAAAAAAAAAAATGAACAAAATACCTGGTGTAACAACAAAATTGCCCAAATTGTATAACAGCATAGGATAATTGTCCATCCCACAAAATATCTAAAAAGCCACTAATTGAGTTTCTTTTTTCCAGATTTTCAGATAAGTCATTTAGCCATCTTGACACCTTTTGTCATAAGAACCACTGAAAAACCCTTTGAGTTATTCAGCTAGAAAAAGAACAGGTTAAAATCATTTTGTGTCAGGCCCACTTTGTCTTCCAAATTGAGCAATGATGAGAGAAAAAGCTCATTAAGGCCTTCAGAGATGGTACCAACATTCATACTCAGGCTTCCATCTTCAAAGTCCATTCAAAAACCATCAAGAGAATGGTGAAAAAAAGAGGGAACAGTAGAGAGGAAAACTGGATCAAGAGGTCACAACAGGAAGAGGGATCATCATTTCAACATAGAGCTAAATACATTGTTCAAAGTAAAATCCAATAGTGTTATAAGAACCTTAAAGGATTCCAGTAAGATATCTTTAATCATTTCTAAGATACAGTGGTTCAAAGCTTAATCTAACAATTGGACAATCTTGCTGTTACACCCAGTATATTTTGCTTATAAAACTGTGAGATAATTATAAATAATGATAGTGATAGTGATGGTAATAGCAATAATCATATCAGATTTTGATTTAGTTTTCATATTCTAACAAAATAAGCAGAGTGGATATTAGTTTTAAGAACATATATTCCTTATTCAGAGAAAAATGATACAATATCATTTGTTTTTAAGCAGTCCTAGAATTTGAAGTGATGCATTTAACTTTTTACAAGAAGGAATCTGAGAAAAAGTTTGTCTTTTTTATAATCTGCATGAACCACTTCTGTCTGATTGCTTGTTATGCTAACAATTAAATAAAGGCTATTTATTTTCTAAATGACTATAAATCTAGTCTCTTATTTTTCCGATAGTAGAGGTCTCTACTGAGATTCTAATCAGTAAATATCAAACTTTAAAACCTTACAAAGTAGAATCAACTATGAGAGTTAGTGATATGTCCCGGAAAGGGATATATTTGTTCAAAGTAGCAAAGTGGTTTTGGACTACTGTAAATGAGTAGGACAATCTAGCAGGTAACTGTAATGGACTGGTCCTCGTCGAAGTGGTTGGCAATAGGTGTAGGCAATAGGCGAAGACAATAGGCGTCGTCCCTGTACCTCCACATCAGTCTGTTACAAGATGAGATCTTGCCCTGCTTCGATAAACGGAAGTCACCATCACGAGTCCCCGACTCGAAATGAAAACTGCACGTCTACGCATAGGCTCGACGCAGATACTTCCGTTTGGCATAAATTCAAAAAAAATGAAAAGAATTAAATAAACCAATCGGACTGTCTCCCGCGTATTCAAAAAATTGCCATTTGGAGCCAATAGGCGTGTATAAGTTCAACACAGGAAAGTCAAAAGGAGTCCCATCCAACGGCGGAGGCAGAAGGGTCACGTCGCTCGCTCCTGACACACTGGCCCGGCGCCAAAACGAAGTATGTGACCGCTGCTGCTAATGAACTCTCATCCGACGCCTTGTCAAAGGGTACCTTTCCCCTTCCATAAGTCAAGTTAACCCCACGAACTTTACTTGCCACTACCATAGACATTCAACTTCTTAAATACGAACTTTTTACTTGTTCTTATTTTCCTCACTAAAAAGACTATAAAATATATCTACAGTCTTTCTTGTTCTTTCGATTCTGAATTTCATTGTTTGCCACCAAATGCAGTATTTCGCCCACATTGTTTTCACATCACCCACGCATCTAAATACGGAATATAACAAGTCTGTATTTATGGCTGACACCAGCCAATCATATTACTGTGAGGAGGAACCCAGGTGTATGCATATTCATTAAATCAATCATATTTTATTGTGTTGGCCTGCAAAAATGGTTAAATTTACTTTTAAAAATGCAATTTTGATAAATGAAACCATTGTTAAAAAAATCAGTAAGAAAAACAAGATTTCTATTTTTCAGAATTTCCGCAATATAATTTTCTGTTTATGTTTTACTTTGTTTTTTTTTTTTTCAGGCAGTGGAAATGTAATGCATGACATGGAACTCCAAATCAAAGCAAATATTCTTCGTATTGAATTGCTAGAGAAACAGAATCAGACATTAAGATTGACACTCAAAAAAATGAATGAAAAATATGAGCTGCATCTAAGCAATGAGGAGGTAAGGACTCCCAGAATGTGTAACAGAAATAATTTTTGTTATGGTTGATACTGAAGATTATGAAATATATGAATCCTGTATTATATTACATATGACTCTTATATGAATTGTTATCTTTTCTAATGTGCAATAGAAAATGACTTTGTTTTGAGATTTTAAAAAAAGATTTCTTTCTACTTTTAATAATTTTCATTTACATTGTGAAGTCTGCTTTCAAGAACATTTTTTTTATTCTGTTAGAATGATGCAAAAGTTTCCAGCATATTTCTGGACAAACTTTTTTATTGATATAAATTCATAATACCTGAGTAAAGATATGAATGTATATGAATAAGGATTTATGGCATCAAAGTATTTTCCCTGATCTTCTATAAGCTTATGTCACCTTTTACCAGAATTATGTGCTCCATCAGAAAAGAGCAATTCTGATTTTGATTTGAGGGTTTGTTTCAGGAATTTTTTTTTATATATTCAACATGTTGACACTGTTGACCAAACGAAGTGTTGTATAAGAGTGAGACAAGTCTGAAAGTGATAGGTCTGGAGATGGTGGAAATACTTCTTATTCCAGCTCTATAAACATTTGTGTTAAATCTACAGTAAAAAGACAGGTATTGTCATGTTGTCAAATTACCAATCAGAATTGGATTTGCTATTCTATCTCCATGATTATTGGCTACATTGAATCATTTATAACTTGAGGTTAGTCACTGTCATACAGAAAAATAATCTTACACAGAAAAAAAAAAGTATTTTCTCTTTCTATGTATCATTTAAATGACCCAGTTGCTCATTGTCGCACTTTAGAGTAAAAGTTTATCTATGTTCCAAAAATTCAAAGTATTTCTTTTGGTCTTTAGCCGATTCTATTTAGATTAAGATGTTGAAGTATCTTCATGATCTAGTTGCAATTTTCTTCAATTCTGACCCAAAACCTGCATTTTTGTGTTATACAAGATGAGAAAAAAAATTCTACAGATTGCGATTCATAAATTCTCACCATTTTATATTTTTAATTTTGTGCATGTGTGTTGCCTTTGATTTTGTTGACTGCACACTATAGTAGTGTCAGTTGGGTACCATCTGTGAGAAAAAGAGCACCATGATACAATTCACTCTGCCAGAAATAAAGAAAACAGCATGCTGTATTGCTTGGCATTTGCACTGGAATCTCCAATACAAACATTTGTATATCAAATAGAGGACAGTACAGAAGATTTAGTAAGAGTTGGATGATATATCCAGTCAACATCATGGTGTTTCGAGGGATCGCTGGTGATGGTGACATTATGCTTCCATTCATCTTCACACAGGACCTCAGACTCAACACGAGCTCTACATCAAGTGCCTTGAGGAGGTAGTGCTGCCCTGAGTCAAGAGGGTAGCTGCTGGAAGATCCTATGTCTAGCAACAGGACTCTGCACCATGCCATACAAGCAGGAAAACCCCCATCAGACAATTTCTCTGACCACATTACCCATTACATCTGGCCACCTAACTCCCCAGACTGCAACCCCCTTCATTATTATGTGTGGGGCGCAGTTGAGCAAGAGACCAACAAAAATCATTGTATCACCAAAGATGAACTGAAGGCAAGGATTATGGTAGCATTAGCCAAGTTAAACAAGGAGACCATCCAGAAGAGTTGCAGGAGATTCCAAAGTCATCTGGAAGTTGTGGTTGAAGCCAATGGCGATTTTATTGAATAAATTTACTCTTTAGTATTTCAAGATATTTTTGTGTAATTTTGGTAAGTATATGTTAAAATGAGATGTCAGTGTCATTTTCATTTTTGCAGAATTTAGATGACAATTTATTCATCGCACCCTGTACATTTTCCCTGAGACTTGTAAATGATGGATTATAGTTCTCATGTTGTTTATGTTGCATCATCCTTGAAACATTGCTCTAATTTATCAATTTTTTAAATCCTGAAATCTTTCAAGTTATTTTTTTTTTTTTGTCCCTGAATTCAAAATATGCATTTTTAACCTTTACAAACTATTTCCAGTATATACTTGTATCTACATCATCAATATGGATTCACTGATCCAAGACCTATGTTTCACTGCACTTTACTGAGGGGTAGTTATTTTTAAAAAAATGAAGGAGGCTGTGACACCTTCAGTTTGGATGACTTCCATGGAGGCTTCACAAAGTGTCTGAAGTGCTACAAGTGCAATTGAAGTCATTTGAAATTAATAAATGTCTCTCCTGAAAAAGTCTCAAAACCTCTGGAATGCACCTTGTAGTGTCCTGTACACTTGCCTGTGGAATATTGGGCTACAGTCTCACCACATTAGGCATTGCCAATGTGGTTTCTGTTGCAAGTAATATTTTACAAGATGGAGTTGTTAGTCCCATGCTCAACCATTTTTGAATTGAGAATTAATTTTCCTAGACTGGTTGCCAATGAAGGCTAAAGAGCCCAGTCTACCCAGTCTATGCTATTACCCCCTAGCTAGGGTTCAAAATGGACCCATAACTTTCTCAAGGACATTTGTTTTAAAATGAACACAACAACCTCAGCTAGAATTTGAACTTTGCCTACCAATCCAACTTTCTGTGCCAATAACCACTATGCTATATACACATCTTTTCTCCTTTTATTAAATCAAAAAGATGAATAAAAAAATTTATATACATGAGCATTCATCCAAATAAAATAATCCTTTAAGATATCAAATATCTAAAAGTTTATTAAAAAAGCATATCTATGCTAGCTACATAGCCTAACTTTTGCTTACTCAGTGATACTGAAATTCACTGCCATATTATATTTCAGAAATATGTGTAAAAGAAGAATACAGTGAGAAAAAGGGATTTTAAAAAATAATTTTCCCCAAAGTACATTGCTATGAACACAGTTATCTCACAATGACTTGTTTACGTATATGCTTTAAATATATAAACACATCCTAATGCAATAAGGCAAAAATAAGATTGTATTTAAAATGTTACTATTTTGTCCCAAATTACTTCTAAGGATGTTAGCTGTTCTACCTTGTAATTCAATTATTACTCATTTATCTTAAATATTTAATTTATGTACAGATTTCCCATACTAAGTCAACTGAATTTTCCTTTGTTAATTTTATTGGTTTATTTTTATCAGTTCATTTTGTAAAAACAGAAGATTTGTTGAACTGTAACACAACTTTCACAGAAGTGTGAATTCTGAACCTTAGTCAAATAGATAATTCCATATTTCATAGTTTCTTAAAATTCATGAAAAAACCTCAGGTTAGTTTGTGTTTTTGATCAAGTAAATGCAAAACGGGTTTGTATATTATGTTCATTATATTAGCTGACAATTGAAAAGGTAGACAGAAATTGAATATAAAGAAAAGAAGAAAATTTGTATATTTGAAGTATTAAGCTAACCTAAATGAATATTTTATAACTTTAGGTAAATAAAGTAAAAATCAATAGTTTCTTAACAATCTGCTAAACTTCAGTAAATTCAATGGATGATGGTAAGAGTTAATAAATTCAAGTAAAATATTGTATTATATTGATTATCCTAACTCATGTACTGATAAAATTATTAATAAGCTTTGGAAAATTTAAAAGAAATATTTAACATCTAAATAAAGATTATTCTTTAAAATTCAATGTACTCTTAATTCAGTCAGATGATTAATGAAGTATCCCTGGAATAAATAAATGTTACAGTTACACTATTTGTATATTATAATAGGAAGAACTCATTTTGTTATGACATGATATTGGTTTATTTTTTACTTAGATAACTTTCTTCATCAATTAAAAACCTGTAATGTTGCAGCATTATGAGGGGGGAGGGATCTGAATGATTTGAAATGGCATTCATGCATTGGGAAGGGAACAAAGAGACTGTCTTGTTACAGCAGTTTTATGATTGTATTGTAAGTGTAACGTGGAGATTTTATCCTCTGCATTCCTACTTAAGAAAATTCTAAAAATATAAAAAAATACTAAAAAATCAAAAACCTTTTTTCCAAATTACAAAATGTATAGAAAAGCAATAAATATACATTCTTTAATTTTGAAATGAATCATTATTATTTAAGTTCTTTGGGCTGTTGATCTCATTATTTTATTGTCATCAGCTTTCATTAGGTGTACAATTCATATGAAAAGAGGTAATTCTTTCTTTTTCTCTGTAGTCTAAATTAAAAAATAGTGCTAGAGAAAAGGGGGGAAAATGGAATTTCTTATGTTACACATGTTATTATGAATGAGTTGTTCTGATGAGTATATTTACCATCATTTCTGTTTGCTATAATTTTCTGGTTTGCACTGCCAATGATGAAAAATAAACACCTCTGAATACAAATTGTAAATCTGAAGAAACCTGTAGAAAGAAAAGATTTAAAATATTCTGTCAAGAGCATTAGTAATACAAAGTTTCATTAGTCCAAAGCTTGGTATGAAAAACAATAAAATTTTAATGTTGCACCTAAAATTGCTAAGCTTGTCATTTGTGCATTTAAACTGCATATTTATTTTTGTTGCAACCATTTTACTTTTATGCAAAAATACATTGAATTTACATTCTACTTTTGTTTGTATAACACTGAATTCTTTAAAAGTTTTCAATTATTTGTTTCTCTTTTTATTTGAGCCATTTTTGACAAATATTTCTTTAAATGAAAAGTTATTATTTCTTTTTAATATTACTCATTAATTTTCTTTTCCCAATTATTGTTCTTATATTTTTATGGAAATCTTCTCTTTGTATTTTCTTTGGTATGAGAGGGTACTGCAATGTTCTAAGCCTGACTCACTTCCCTATAAATATGAACAAAGGGCCAAACATCACATTGGACAGGCTGATAACTTTTCAGCACCCCCTCATATATTTGAACATTGAAATTGTAATTATTGAAATAAGTTTTAAATACTTTCAGTTATGAAAAGAATGATTCTAATTCTTTTTTAAATATTACTCATATCTTTAATTCCATTAAATTTTCATCTCATTGACATATCAAAGACACTTCTTATATAATATTACATATAATTTTAGTTATCTTGCACATACACAAAATATTTTTTAATAAATTTTATTATATATTAGATATACACGCTCATGAGCAGATTGTTTAATTTATAATGCAATATTTTACGTTTTTCATCCTTATTATATTCTATAATTCATGTTTGATAAATGCACAAAGAATAGGTTTTTGAGATATCAAACTTCTTTGAGTAAATTGATAAATTGGATTACTCGGATTAAATTTCATCACCATAATCCAAATTTCAGAAATTAAAAATTACATTGTCTAATTTCTGCTTTAAATGCACAAGTATTTATTGGCAGAAGTCTTTTGTTTTGTTGGGTTTTCCCTAGTATTGGCAGCATTGGTTCATAAATAACAAATACAAAAACTGCCTAGCTACTTAAAAATAGCCTGTATAGGACAATGTTACTTCAGTTCTCATCAAAGAATTTTCTTTGAATCTGCACACATTTATCACATTGCCTATTTCACTTTTCAAAACAGTCTACAAAATCCTCATTTGGAATCCCTATCAGTTGTCTTCTTGTGTTCTCCTTAGTCTCAATGTCAAAAGTTGTTTTAGCTTTGGAAAAATACAGAATTTGGTGGCATAGCAATTGTAGAATTCAATCCTCGGGTCGAGTAGTACAGACTTAGACTCCATGGAAATGAGGCAAACAATAACTGAGCAGTGCTAGACATGGACAGCAGAATGAGAACAATCTACTCCCATAGATTAAATAAAAGGTTCAGTTTGAAATTTGCTGAAGGTTACCTGGATCAACAGACACCTGAAGAAGGCCTGAGAATACAACAGCCATAATAACAACAAAGATGAAGATATTAGTCTGCATATGAATAATATAAATACAGAACTCATACATTGTGTGAGAGAGAGAGAGAGAAGTGGGGTACCAAACCTGGACAATGCAATGCTTTACCAAAAATACTGCAGAAGAATCTAACAGTTACATAGAGCACAAGTTCACTCAGTGATGTCTTACTGTTGACTGATTCAGCTTACAGGTGAGTCTGTTCATGCATGTGCAGTAAGATCCCCTCTGATTGGTTGCCAAGTCAGATCACAACAGTGCAACTAGATATTTACATGATTGAATGCTTTCCAGACAAGCATCATATGTTTAAAATAATGATGCCTTGACACAAAACAGAATTTCCTTGATTCTTTTTTTTTATAATCATAACTGAATTATTTTATATTTAAATCCACAGCCTGTTTCTCTTTGGAATATGAATACAACTCAAACCAAAATCAAAGGAAACTACAATCAAGAAGCTGAAGAACCAGGAAAAAAATGCATTCAAAACCATAATGTCTTGATTTCAAAAACAACAGAGAAAAACTTTAATGCTGACTCCTCAGAGAAAGGAAGTCAAAAAATGAAGGAAAGACAGATCTCAACAGCAGTTAGTCTACACAACAGTTCATGTTTGACAGCAATGAGAAACAATTCTGCTTTGTTTCGTTCAAAAACTGCAAATGCTATTCATAAGAAGCCCAATTTAAGAGATACAGAGAAAGTAATTGGGAGAATGTCTAAAACATCCAGCATAAAGACTTACATATCACTTAAACAACAAGGAAAACTGCACAATGATAATCCATGGGGTCTAAGAGGTAAGAGGTATATATGTGTGTGTGTGTGTGTGTGTGTGTGTGTGTGTGTGTGTATATATATATATATAATTAAAGATATTAAAATGCACAATCAGTGTGCTCAAGAATATAAAGGTAGGGTTTTTTGTCAAAATTTATGAATTTTGAAAAAGAAAGAAACTAATCATGTCTTTTTGTCAAATGGGGTTAAGTGTAGGATTATCTGCCTTAAGGTACAGTTAGGGAACTGACAGTATAGGGTATTTGAACTTGTACTATCAAAATAAAATCAAGGAGGGAATTAACAATATTTAAAAAATTTTTGTCAAAAAAGACAATCTACAAGAAATATGGTGAGATATGCCTACAAATTTTGGTAGGATTCTTTAGGCTAGCAGTTGATTACAAGACAAAATATACATTTACCCATTTAAAAATGAATAGAATTAAATAATTGAAATCAAGAAAAGAATAAACAAAATAAAATTAAATAAGAAAATTTCTCTGTCCTCTCCTCCACTGAACTTTGTCCATGTTATGTAACCATTTGGCCAAAAGGAAACGGTCAAAGCTAAATATTATGTTGCTATGATGTAATCTTACATTTTTTATTCTTCAAATGAGTATGGCAATATTTTACTTGATCATGTGCGGTATGTCTTCATTGAGGCATTGGTCCAAGTTCCTTAACCTGCAAAACAATAGAAGGTTCTGCCCTGTTTCTTAAGAGTGTAGACCACATCCATGGTGATAACAATCTTTCTATTGGCATGCTCAGTGTAGATGATAGCATCATGGATGGGTCTCTTTTCATACTACCTCTGTAGGTGAGATGGTAAATAGCAGATGTCTTGGAATTATCAGAGCACCTTACAATGGGGCTCAGTGCAACCCTTTCTCAATTCTTTTCTTCCTTTGTTATGGCTAGGAATTTTGATAAAGTCAAAATTTGACAAAGATTCTACTTCCTCAAATATAGTTACTCACTAAGCCATGACCAATAGCCAGTGGTAGGTGAGTGAATTATTTCAGATCTAAACATTATTTTCCACTTGAGAGGTTGGTTTCTCTTGCCTTCCAATTGGCTAGTTAGTATATACCCCTAACCAATCAAATAATGCCTAATCAAAAATTTCCACAGAACATTTGTGCACTAAGTCACTTAACTGAGATAAGAAGGCTAAATAACCACCAAACATTTCAACAATTATCAGTCCTGACCTGGCATCTCAACTTCAGTCACTTTCCCACTGCCATCATATAGCCTCCTTTTGTCTTTTTTCTAAATATTTTCATAGCAGTTGTTCTAATGAGCTCTCATCCTTTGTACCTCAACAACATAAATTTAAGCATAATACCAAAATGGACTGCATCATTTTACTGTTGAAATATCTAGATGTAACTATAAATTCTATTCTAATAGTTTCTTTTCTCACACTTCTCACCTGCAGAACTTTCTTTTAATTTCTTGCTTCCATGCCATCTACGATCTTCAAACATTTTACAATAGATATGCTCTCTGGCCTTTTACAAAAAGACGTATGCATTCAAATATTTTCTAACAAAAATCTTACAGAAAATTAATATATTGTCTTAATTTCCAAAATGGATCAGTGGCCTTGTTATTAATCTATTTTTCTTTAATAATGATGACAATACTTCATCTCAGAAATATGGACAAGACTAGAAATATCTAATATTACCAGTGTAAAACAAATGAATGGTAGTATAGTGATCAGAAGTGAAAAAAATATAGCTAATGACTAAATTGATTAATGTCATCTGGTTAGTTTTTTATAGCCTAGTGGCTTATGGCCATATCACATTGAAACATTGGTTCTCATAAAATCACTGAAGTTAAACAACATTGAATCTGGTCAGTACCTAGATAGGTGATCACTTGAGAATGCCAGGTGCTGTAAGCTTGGAATTTTAGGTGGTGTAATGGATAACGACTCGAAAATGGAAATTGGAGAGTCGGGTTTGTTATATTCATTATTTACAATAAACCTATCTATAATAAGACTTGCGTCAGTAAATCTTTATTATCCCCAAAACATTCTCACAATCTAAAAATATTTTCTGGCTATAAATAACCTGCAAAAGGTTGATAAGCCATAAAAACAATCAATCAATTTATAGCTTAGCTGGTAAAGCATTGTTATAGTAAAATAGGTTCCCAGAGATAACAGGATACAAGTTCAAATCTCAGTAGAAACTTATTATTTCAATAAATATAAAAATCATTATCTTTATTAAAACTCTAATGATTAAAATTTTTATTTAACAAGTTATTAAAAATATTTGCAGAGTTTTGTCCATTATACAACATTTTAAAACACTATTCCTTGAAAAAATACTGTTTTTCTACTTACATTCTTTGTAATTCATCTCATCAGTCAGAACACTACAAATACTCTTCCATCTAAGCACATTATGAGTGCAAATATTGGCCATTGTTAACAATGTAATGGTATTACTAACTTGCTAAAAACATATGAAGGGGAGCTGAAAATTTTTGTCCAACCCACTTCCCAAAATATGACCAAATAATCAAACATCAGATTTGTTTTTTGAAGGTTTTCCTGGTTTTCAGCAATTCCTTGTACCTAATTAAATTTATAACTAGTGTTTGACTGAAGGGTTAGGGGTTAGTTGATTTCTTTGTTGTTAAAATTCAATTTCTTTCTTTTAATATTAAAGATAATATAATTTCTTTATTAATTTACATTTGTTTCCTTTATTTTAGGAAAATCTCAATTGACTGAAAGTGAACTTTCAAGCAGAGCCAGTGTTCCTCAGTTGCAGACACAAGTGTTATCATTTGCATGCAAGCGTTGTGACAAAATGTACCTACAAGCACAGGAATTGAAAATTCACTCTATTTATTGTAAAGGCTGAGATTTCTAACCATAAGAAAATAGCTCTTCTGAATGTGAAAGAAAAAAAAATCTATAAAAACAGTTAATATATATTTTACTATTTTTTATTTCAGTTAAGGAAAATAAAGATGTTGAAAAGTGACAGTGAATCATTTTCAGGATATGGTTAATTGCTTGCTTCAGCCAGCATGACTATAAGTAAGATATGACATAAACTATAAGTAAAATAAAACATTTAATTTCTTATTTTAAACAAATTTGTAAAAATTTCAAATAGCTTTTTATTCTTTTTTGTTTTTGTTACAATTAATTACCTTTAGTTAGAATAAGAATTATCTATACATCTATAAAACACGTTTATGTGTGTCTGTCTGTATGCTATTTATGCATGTCAACATTTCTCAACCTATTTTGATGAAATTATACAAATATGATGCAAATTTACCAAGGTAGGTCAAGACAAACTTTTCAATCTCCAGGCCCCCTGGGTTTGGCGGAAAAATCAATAATACTGAAGGTAGGTATGACTTTTTTGCAAAAACCAAGGCAAAGTAACATGCAAACAAAATTTTTACTGGGTGAGCTGATGTTCTTTGCACTTAATGCAAAGCATAGCTCATGTTACAAGGTTTACATAGAGTGCTTGATAATTTTCCTGTGACATTGGCTTCACACAAAAAAACTGTGAAAAAATTGTATTTTTCGTACTACTTAAAGTAAAAACTTGAATAACTCTTTTTAATTCAAAATCCATGAAAAACTGTCTAAAATTCCGTTTTTTGGCCATAACTCCTTGGTTTTTCATCCAATGCTTTCCAAATTTGCCATGTAAATTACATATGACACACAAATTGTCTTCTGTGAATGTTTGGTTTAGATTATTTCAGTTAAGTTGATAAAATCTACGACAAACTAGGTCCAAAACTGTCTTTTGCCATTTAGCCAATATTTTCTTCATAAGATTTCATTCAAATTGACATTCAAACATCTTTTGATGCAAAGATTGCTTGAGAAGAATTATTGAAGTGTTAAAAGAGAAAAATTCCTGAAGAACCTCTTATTAACACTAGCTTGTGAAAAAGGAAAGAGGTGTTCATGCATTTGATTATTAGATTTGTGAACAATGCCACACTACTTGAAAGTTATTATAGCCATAGGAAATTTACTGAATATCTAAAACATTGAAACAATAAACGACCACACAAGGTTTTATCAATGGAATTCATTTATTAACAATGAAACACTTGTGAAGGACATACCATAAAAAAGATGAGACAGGGAGTATCTTAGTATACCAACAGATGATGCATACAAGCAGAGAAGCAGGCAGACATTTCTAGACAGGGGTGTGTGGGTATATAAGGGGGTGCAGTTGTATAATTGCAGCCATGTACACTGGAGTAACAACGGGTACTAATAAAAACTTGATGCCACACATGGTTGAACTATCAAAAATCTTTTTTTGTGCTAAAGTTTTTTTTATTATCTTTTAATGTGATATTTTTTCTTTTTTTATAAATATACTTTCTTTGAACAATTAAGAAATTTCAAGGAAGTAGCAAGTGATATAATAAAGGGTGCTGAAAAGATCTACTTCTCAAAACCTGATCAATTACCCAAGTATCAGAATTTTTTAATCCCTTCTGTGTCTGGCCCCCAAAATTCCTTCTCCCATTCCCTCTATACTTTCAAAATATTATCAGAAATCGGGGAGTTTAATGACACAAATATTTATAATGTCAAAAATAAATTATTAGTAAATACTTACTATGAAAACAAAGAATTCATTCTTTTATATTTAAATTTGCTTATTTTCTGTTATTTAAATGAATTTTATAGAAACAATTTTTCTGATTTCTTTTAAAACTGAGTAAATTTTCCTTTTCTTTTAAGAATTAAACATATTAAAATATACATATCTATATTTTATTCTATCACTAATAGCTTGTCTTAATTCCTGACTACTGGCAATCTATTTTTACTACCTTTCAATACATTTCTATAGTAAAACACTGCTTTATTTTAATGCCTGATGATAATTAGTGCAAATATAAAAATTTACTTATATTTTACAATTTTATATATATATATATATATATATATATATATAATAGCTCTATTCTGTCAGTTATGCTTTAATTCTTGACCACTTTTACTTCATTGTTAATGAACAATATACAGGTTATGGAAACTTTTTGGCAAAAGGCTAATAAATTAGATTCATAATCCTCTAACATCATAAATATTTAAATTATTCTTGCAAAAAGAAACAAAAGCTAAGTAGGGGTGTGGTGATATGAAAACTTCATATTATTATAATTATAATAATGGAACTGAAAAAATGTGAAAATTACAGAGAATTTAATGTGTTTTAGGCTTGCAGAATTTCTAGTTAGATCTATAACATTAAATAAATCAGGAAAATTTTGAAAAATTTTATTGAAAAAAAATATGCAGAGAGTGACAGATTTTTATTACTTTAAACATTATTTTTAGTGGATACTTGTATTTGAGCAAACACTTTGTTTATTTACTGAACAATATATTTATTTTCATCTACTGGCCTAGTAGATGAAAATAAATATACCAACCAAATACCAATACATCCGTACAAGATGTTACCAGGAGATTAATACCAAATTATATTAAATCCAAAGTAAATCCAAATTATACAAAAAAAAATACAACAAATATAATTATAATTTAAACTGAAATGTTAATTATACAGACATGCTCAACATTTAAATTTCAATTTTGATATCCATTGTATTTCGATGTTAAGCTTTACCTATCTAATTCAGTTCTTTATTGCTTTTATTTTTATTGTCATTAATTATCCCACATTGTATTAGCCATCATTTTTCAATGAAAGAAGAAATGTTTCATGATTGGCATAAATTTATTGTAAAATATTCTGAATTTAGTGCACTCTCAAATATATTTTTGTCCAAATAAATTTTTTTTCTTTAAATCAAATCATTCTTTAAGTCAAAATTATTTTCTGACCTATTACAATGTTTAAATATTCTCTGTATCTTTAACATTTGAATGTAAACTATAAAAAGTTAGACTTATAGATATGCAAGATAGATTCCAGTGAGAAAAGTCTTCGCCAACACAGTGAACCGACTTTCTTAGCAGCTGATCTAGCAATGGATTCAATGTAGTATTTCCACCCCATGTCAGCTGAGAACGTTAGCTTGAGAAGGTGCAATGAGTCACTTTCCTGGTGGATAGCATCAGCCATGCTGATGGAAGGCAGAGAAGGGTCTCTCAGATGATTAATGGAGAAAAGTTTAGTTTGGGAGGTGTTAAAATTGACAAGCCATCTTTCGCCCTAGTTAACATCAGTCTTGAGGTTATTTTATACATCAGCTGCCATTTTGACCTCATTGGATTGATCAGCCTTACTATCAAGGCAGAAGTAAATGATAGTGTCGACAGCATAACGTTTATGCAGGGCAATACTGTAGTCTAATAAATAAATTACTACCCAGAAATTTGGGGAATGTGATCATCAGAAAAAGAAAATAATTCCCCTTACACCTATTTTCTAATGCATTCTTTAAATCCGTCCTCTCATGAGCCAATGGGCGAACTTCAAGGTGCCTTGGCTGATTTACAAAAAGTAAAGATAAAAGTCTGTCCTATATTTAGTTGAGCATTGTTCAAACCCTCCATACTTTTGGATTGCATTTCATGTGCATTGATTTAGTAGTCATGGGCAAACTGTGACCAATGGGCCACAATTCGCTTTCTGAATGGCATGCCTAATTTCATGTGGAAAATAATGTTTATTAAAATGTTTGTTTCCTTTTGTTGTCACTTGTTTATACACTTTTTAGAGATAATAATGATGTAGTGATACAAGTCTTACTAATTAACCCATAGCTGAGGAGAGAAGAGGTATTCACGAGTAAAGGAAATGTAACAACCCCAACTGGAATTGAAACCCGGCTCCCCAGTTAACAATTTTGAGCCATTATCACCCACACATCCAAGCTTACAGCAATTGGTATTTCCAAGTGGTCACCCATCTAGGTACTGACCAGGTTTGACATTGCTTAACTTCAATGATCATGCAGGAACTGGTGTTTCAACATGATATGGCCATAAGAAATTTAAAAAAAAAAAGAAAAGAAATTTTATCAAGCATATATTGCTATAACATTAATATCCACATGCTTTTAATTGAAAAGATATACTGACAAAAACTATATTTTTAGAAATCATGACTGCCATTTTTAGAAGTCGTATTTTTTTCTTATATATAGTTTTATCACCAATTGTCATAAATCATGTAGAAACTATCTTAAAATATCTGATTGGTCAAAAACTTTTCCTTGATAAACAATGGTTATCCAGTGAGTTGGCAAAATGACTGTGCAATGGTGTTCAAATGTCAATTACTCAAATTTGCTGTTTTTTTTTTCTCAAGTTGTAATGCTCCAGTTATCTCCCTTGCTAACCGAACCTTTAGAAAAGCAAATAACAGGCGTATAAAAAAAATATAATGAAGCCTTACCACCAAAAATAAAATGTTCACTTGATAAAATAAAAACCTTTGATATATGTAATGAAATAAATTAAAAAAAGAAACAAACAAATTTTCATTTTTTTTATTACATTTGTAACATAAGGCACACTGTATTTACACCAGCAGTAGATGATAAATTGTCAATAATTGAAAATAAATATCTGACCAGAATGCTCAAACATTTGTTTTTTCCCGAAAATTCATTCTTCTGATGAGAAGATATATGCTATGTGGAATGTGTAGGTAATTAGTATATTTTTTTTTACATAAAATTTCCTTTCTAATATCCAAGAACCTACACAAACATTAAGTGATAACACTTCTTTATGGAGATCAATATAAAATACAAAATCACTTTAAAATTTGATCAGTTATGTAATTATCAAGTTACAAGTGCAGAATATTTTTCACAATAAGAAAAACAATCAAAATTTCAGTACTAAACAGAATAGACATGCATGTACTTGGTTTAAAAAGGAAGTAATCTTAACATCTAAAAAAGGAAGTGTTACAGGTATTAAGACTTAGTCTGGTACAAGGCCACATGCAAACAGTGAAAATCGAACTCACCACAGAGCTTGCTGAAACTTTGTCTTATGGTGAATTGCCTATTTATTGGTATTTATGAAACTGTTTTGCCTGGCACAGCCACGTGTGTGGAGCAATAATGAGGATGACATTCACTACACAATTGTTATGGTCTATTGCACTAGCTCGTCAACCATTACTCTACAGTGAGACACTAAAAATAAATAAGTGTTATTTGTGAAAAGAGAACCATAGTAATCTTAGCTGAGAGATAATTAAGAACAAGTAAGAGTAATAATGCAATAAATTCACGATTTGATAGTGACAAGTTCAAAAGGTAAATAACAAACATGTATACTTTCAGCCGGCCATGAAAAAAATTAGTATGTAACTATTAAAGACCATAAAATAAGAAAAAAAAAAAAAGAAAGCATTAGTGAAATATATATTTAGATATCAACTAATGCATAAAAAAACTTAGCAATCTAAATAATTTTAATGACATTAATTCTGAGCAAGATTCAATATTTAAAAAAGTCTTCAATTATATTTTCTTTTAGAGCTTTAAAAGGTACACAAAAATGAAATTATATTAAAATTATATATAAAACAGCATTGTCTTTTTTAAAATAAAACATTCAACAAGAACTATATTTTCACTTGATACATCAAAATAACAAATGTCAAAAATAAAAAAATAGTCATAGAAGAGTTTTAGTAAATATTCTTGAAGAAAATATTTCAAAATTGAGTTTAGAAAATTTTCAAGGAACATTTTGTAAAAGTTTGCAGTTAAAAAATGAAAATGAATTGGTAAAAATCGCTTACTGAAAATTAAAATTAACATTGTGGAATTATTGTCCAAAACCTGAAATAGTGAGAAAAAACATTAGAATGCAAAATATATGCCAAACTTATTTAAGGACATGTCTCCTCTAGAAAGCTTCTTTTTTTGTTTTTCTTTTCTTAAATAGGTTTTACTGTTTCTATAAAATGAAAGTAATATTTAAAGAATTCCTTGAGCATTGGATAATCATCCTATATTTGTATATTCTTTCTAATAATTTGTGATTTGAAGTGTAAACATGATAAATTGATCCCAAAACAATATATTTATTTATCTTTGTTTTTACACATGCATATGTAAGTAATAGATCTTGACTGAAGTTTTGAGGCAAGAACTTTAGTCGGAATGTGAAATACCAGTCTGAAGAACATAAAACTTAAGAAAAACCTAAACTCATTACATATCAAAGTATAAATGTATATCAATAATTTTCTATGCGAAAATTATGCCTAGAAAGAATAATTGGGCTGATGACAAAATATGAAAAGTATTTGGTTACAAGAACATGGAAAAATATAATCATATAAAAATAAGCAATAAGAAGATAAGTTATTTAAAGAAAATGAGATTGAGAGTTTGATTTTCACATAAAATTGGATTATATATATATATATATATATATATATATATATATATATATATAAAAATGAATATTGAACTCAATACTCAGAGGTGACAGGCTGTTTCATGCTGGCCACAATCGTCAGGCCACCAAATGATTGTGTCCAGCATGAAACAGCCTGTCGCCTCTGAGTGTTGACTTCAATGTTTACTTTTATATTTACATAAGCTCTATCTCTGATATTGATCACTTTATCCTATAAATATAGCACACCTTAAAACTATATTTCTTCATATATATATATATATATATATATTTTTAATTTCATCCCAAGCAAGGCAACAAAGGCACTAACAAGCAAGGAATTATAGAGAGTGAAGGAAAAAACATTGCTGAAAGGACAATAAGAACAGGGTTCATGGAGACAGAAATATGATGATTGATATTACATTTAAATTCAATATAAAAGATATTTTTTATCTTATATTATCTCAGAGTTTTCATCTTTTTAAACATTGTGTCTGAAATATATTTCATTGTATTGAAATCATTTTTAAAGCACAAGTAATAATTAAAGTTGTGCAGAGCAGAAATTTAAAATAGGACTGATGAGAGAGGTACCAGGAAAGGCACATAGGTATATTGAACAAACATTATTATACCATCCATGGCAAAGATCACAGTATTTTACATGTAAACAACAAAAGATTCATCAAATATGTTTCCACTGTCCAGCAGTGAATTCAACATTTATGGAGGGAAAGAAAGAAATCCTGGCAAATATGAAAGTCAGATGTAAAATATATTGCAAAAGCTTGTGCCTGATTTTCATTATTTTAATTTTCTAATCAGGCACAAACTTTTCCAATGATCCAATAATTATTATCATTCCTAGTGTTATTTTTCAAATTACAGTTGTACAATTGCATCACATAAATAACTAACATTTATCCTAAATAAATAATGAAACACATAAAAACATGATTTTTTTTCATAAAAAATTGTTACAATTTTCATTATTTCAAAAGAAGAAAAACTCACTAAATTCATAAGAAAATAACAGATTTTTGAATAATCAAATTAAATGTTTTTATGAATTGTTTTCTTTTCAGTGCAACTTAAGATTATCAAAGAGCATCAGTGAGAAGAATGCTAAATTAATATTTTTTTTTTAGTTGATATTATTAAGGTATAATAATGAGGTGTGTACAAGTTCTTTGAAAGAAAAGATGTATTTATGTTTATATGTTACAAGCAGTAGAGCCCGGTGTTGCCCGGGGATGTAACAATAAGAGATAGATCAAGTATTGACCATCATAAAGACTGAAAAATAAAATTACAAAGATTATTGTTTAAGGTTGACGGACGCGCATGCCTTAATTAGTTTTTCTTTTTGTTTTTTTGGGTTTTTTTTTTTTACGAATTGGTCAAACCCAAACTCAAACAAAAACATTATTTTCAATTGTTATGAGTCTACCGATTGAATAGAATTTTATTATAAACAATTGTCTTGTAAATGGAATTTTTAAAGCATTCTGAATGTAAAAATAAAGAAAAAAGTGTGCAAGACAATAAGAAACACTACCTGCCAAAAAAAAAAAATGAAGTTTTGTTGAAATCGGTTGAAAAATGTAGGAAATCCGATCCCATACATAAATGAACACAGACACACACAAACAACCTGGGTTTTATAAGTATAACTCGATATGAGTTGTCCCCCTTTCATTCTCGCGATGCCTCTTAATCATATTTTCAAATTGATTTCGTGCAAAAACAATTGTGTTTTTCCAATTTTTGGCGCTGTCAGAACCACCGCAAGATAATTTTACGTTAGTCCAGTGAAGTTTTGTTGAAATTGGTTGAAAAATGTAGGAAATCCGATCCAATATATAAACGTACACACACACACAACCTGGGTTTTATAAGTATGATTATTTGAAAGGATCAAAATATTTTAACGAATTTTGAAAAAGTGGAATGGAGTTAAAAATGCCACTTTAATAAAGTCAGACAAAAAGAATAGCTAAGAAATATTAAATGGAATTACAGGAACTAAGAATAGAGAAAGAGAACAAAACCAAAACACTAACCTGAAAAGATGAATCATGTTCTTAAAGAGTCTAATCAGATTGAGACTTTCATATGGATCAAATGCATGGCACCAAGCCCATTCAGAAATATCTAGACTGTCAGCTGTATACCACTGCTTTCTAACATCAATGGTTAAAAATGACTTTGAGCAAATGAAGACTGTTGGTCTTGGTGAAGAACATCCTTCTTTGAACCTTGTGGATTGGCAGTACAGAATCACAGAGAATCTGTACCAAATAACAGAAACAACATTACTTGAAGACTTTCAACAGCAGGAACAACTAAAATGGATAGTACATGTAACTTGAAGAGAAAATAATAACATAATCAAGATGTTGATGTTCCACACTACTTCAAATAAAAAGTTAGGAAGGAAACCCCACATCAATATTGGAAAGAAGGATAACAGCTACTGGACTTGAAAAAACTATTTTCCTGAAAAACTTTTTTCATAGAAAGATTTTATAAAATTTAGCTGGCAGCAGTACAAACTACTTGGTCAATGAATGCCAAATGTTTCCTTATAAGAAAACATATATAATATTACCAT